ATATCCCGGTCTCCCCGGACCCTGCATTCACTATATCCGGTCTCCCCGGACCCTGCATTCACTATACCTGGTCTCCCCGGACCCTGCATTCACTATATCTGGTCTGCCAGGACCCTGCATTCACTTTATCAGGTCTCCTAGGACCCTGCATTCCCTATATCTGCTCTCCCAGGACCCTGCATTCCCTATATCCGCTCTCCCAGGGTGCCTGCATTCACTATATCTGGTCTCCCAGGACCCTGCATTCACTATATCTTGGGGTTCTTTTTGACATTTGTCTTTTGCTTTTTTCCTTTTCTCATATTTACTTAAAGTGCTACTATACCCAGGACCCTGCATTCACTATATCTGGTCTCCCCGGATCCTGCGTTCACTATATCTGGTATCCCAGGACCCTGTGTTCATGCAATATCTGGTCTCCCTGGACCCTGCATTCACTATATCCGGTCTCCCAGGACCCCGCATTCACTATATCTGGGTCCCCGGATCCTGCATTCACTATATCCGGTCTCCCCGGACCCTACATTCACTATATCCGTCTCCCCGTTACCCTGCATTCACTATATCCGGTCTCCCCGGACCCTGCATTCACTATATCCGGTCTCCCCGGACCCTACATTCACTATATCCGGCTTCTCCCCGGACCCTGCATTCACTATATCCGGTCTCCCCGGACCCTACATTCACTATATCCGGTCTCCCCGGACCCTACATTCACTATATCCGGTCTCTCCAGACCCTGCATTCACTATATCCAGTCTCCCCGGACCCTGCATTCACTATATCCGGTCTCCCAGGACCCTGCATTCACTATATCCGGTCTCCCAGGACCCTGCATTCATTATATCTGGTCTCCTTGGACCCTGCATTCACTATATCTGGTCTCCCTGGACCCTGCATTCACTATATCCGGTCTCCCAGGACCCTGATTCACTATATCTGGTCTCCCACAGTACACAGAACATGGAAATGCAATCATTTTAGTACATATAAACTGACAAATACCTCAATTTTTCTCATCAGCAAGTACATAGCAGTCTTGTGGCTTCTATCAGTGTCCAGCAGAGCACTGGTTAAAGCCTGTAGGAGGAGTTTTAATTTTGCTCTAGGAGGATGCAGAAACCCTGACCACTGTCTGGACAGTGCTGATTGCCCCTGTGCTGATCACATGCACTCTCCCAAGGAAAAACCAAAAAAACCTCTCTAGCAATGCACACCAAACTGAGCATATGCAGAGGGACTTCACACGATATGTCTTATCAGGAGATAAGAGGACACTGGAAGAAGGAGAGGATCAGAGAAGACAGGATCAAACAGCATTTCTGCACAATGCATGCAGAGGATTAACCCCTTATGTTCCACAGTAAATATAACAAGCATGCATTACTGCATATACAGACTGATTGTACTGTTGTGGGTTTAGTAACATTTTAGCTGTATACAAGCACCAAAACCAAAAGCAATATTTAATTTATTTTTATTATTTAAAGGAAACTCGTTCATACATCCCCATGCCTTATTTTGTTGAGAAATCACTTGAGAAAAAACACAGCCCTAGCATTTTCTAGCTGCATCTTGAATAAGGGCAGATGTTTCATGTAGCGCTTGCTTCCTGGAATCCATCTGCCCTTAGCGCAGACATGCAGACAGGAGGGGGTGTGCTTAGCTGAAAATTCTCCTTCTCCCACCTTCCTTCAGATGAAAGAAGAATTGTCCGTGAAGACTTCTGGGATGTAAGACATAATTTTGGCCTAGGCCAGAAACCAGGAAATGTGAAAAAAATGATATGCATCAGAAAACTGTATACAGTGATACATGACGACAGACATTGTGAAAATAGATTTTTGGGTTAAAGTTAACTGCAGATCTGATCAGGATTTGGGAATAACAGGAAAACTTGGGAGGCTGCTACAGTTAGGTGTCTGCACATTATACTTACATTGTTTTTTTTTTTTTTTTTTGTTTTGGAGGATTTGGTCTCCTAAAAATGTATACAACTTTCATAGAGTTTCAAGTGAACAGAACACAATGCAATCATTATGTGAAAGAATTTACAGAAGAATGTATGCAGTTAATTATTTCTGCTTAATTTTTTTTTTATTTCATATCATCTCCCATAACACTGTTCAACAGGTAAAAAGTTTTGGGCATAAAATTAGCTAATCTTACATAATTTTGGGGTGCTGAGGAAACGAAAAATGACCCTAAAAAATGTTGATTGGCTCTAGTTTCCATGATATATTCACCCATCTAATGACATAAGCCATTCAAAATTATGATGCAACTTCAGCTGCATATTGCGCAATTGATACTGGTGACCAATAGAAAATTGCATGTATACTGAGATGATGAATATTAGCCTTTAATTGCATCACTTCACTGCATAAAAGCTGCAGTATCTGTAGCTGATTGTAGTTCCACAGCGTCTTTACATTTCGTTTTATGCTTATATAGGCTACTCAGTAATGCCTCGAACTTGTGTTTAAAGCAGATAATTTCTGCTATATCTGCGGTGAAATAACTTTTATCTCACAAAAAAGGAGGATAACAGGAATGATTAAGAAAGCCTACAACTTGTATTTTGGCTGCAAAATAGGAGACCAGGACAAGAGCTGGGCACCACATAATTTTCTTGCTGTAATCCTATGCAATATATTATGCCATTTAGGCTTTGTTATGTAGTCAATATCACTTGCTTTATATTTGTGGAAAGACATCTATCTATATAATTATTGTGCATTATGTAGTCATTCGCCTATAGTAGAAAACTTTCCGTTTACAGAAAAACTAGAGCCAATTGACAAATTTCATTGTTATTGAACTCAGAATGTGAAATTCATTAAGAAATGGATCCTTTTGCCTAGGCCAAAACTGGAAAAAAAAAAAATTTGTTGAACAGTGTAATTCAACTGTATTTACATATGATACTTATACAGACACTGTCAATTTACATTATTTGTTACATTTGCATCAGTCCCTAACCCTCAGGATTTGTACAATCTAAGGTCCCAGGAAAACTTCAAGGGTGCTACAATTAGGTGTCCACATTAACCCTTAGGGGCATTACAATCTAAGGTCCCTGACCCTCAAGGGGGATTAAGGTCCCTAAAAATGTATACAATCTAAGGTCCCTAACCCTCAAGTGAACAGTACAATCTAAGGTCCATGACCCTCAAGAATTTACAATCTAAGGTCCCTAACCCTCAAGGGGCGTACAATCTATTTCTCCCTAACCCTCAAGGGGCGTACATATCTAAGGTCCCTAACCCTCAAGGGGCGTACAATCTAAGGTACCTAACCCTCAAGGGCGTACAATCTAAGGTCCCTAACCCTCAAGGGGCGTACAATCTAAGGTCCCTAACCCTCAAGGGGTGTACAATCTAAGGTCCCTAACCCTCAAGGGGCGTACAATCTAAGGTCCTTAACCCTCAAGGGGCGTACAATCTAAGGTCCCTAACCCTCAAGGGGCGTACAATCTAAGGTCCCTAACCCTCAAGGGGCGTACAATCTAAGGTCCCTAACCCTCAAGGGGCGTACAATCTAAGGTCCCTAACCCTCAAGGGGCGTACAATCTAAGATCCCTAACCCTCAAGGGGCGTACAATCTAAGGTCCCTAACCCTCAAGGGGTGTACAATCTAAGGTCCCTAACTTACATTCATACATACACAATACTAGGGACAATTTACACAGGAGCCAATTAACCTACCAGCATGTCTTTGGACTGTGGGAGGAAACTGGAGTACCTGGAGGAAACCCACACAGGCACAGGGAGAACATGGAAACTCCAGGCAGGTGGTGCTGTGGCTGGCATTCGAACTAGTACTGTACGCCCCTTGAGTAATCATTACTGCATCAGTAAATGTTTTTTTTCCTTCAATGGTTTTTTATTAAAAATGCAGAAATTTGAAAAAAAAAAAACAACTGTCAAGGCTCAATGCCTAAAAGTACATAGAAAAGGATTACAAAAAATAATGCATACAGATCTAAACTCATGGTAGTTTTTATACAAATGCTTCACTGTGACCCTGAAGAGGTATCTTGTAACAAGCAGTGTAAGTATCTGGATTTGACCTGGTGTTAGCCTCTTGACTACTAGTATATTATTAACCCATATCTCTGTGCTCTGCTTTTCAGCAAATATTGTGCATTCAAAAATATATCGCTGTTTATGCATCTTTAGATTAAAGGGTTAATTCCCCTTTACAAAAAAAACTGCCTATGCAGGTAATGGGCACATGTAGATAAGAACAAACTGTGCAGCTTTGACTGAGGTCAGATCATTTTCTTGCTGTAGGTGTAGGTCATACCTTCCAAAGCCTGGCTGAATAACTCCCACAGATAGCATCATCCTGTCTTGCCTTGTTGCTACAATGTTGCCAAGATGCTCCCAGCCGTTACTGCGCACTCCCAATATTATAGGAGCAAGCTCTCAAACCCCTGCACATGTGCGGTCCACTATCTCCTCTGTTGCTGCATCGCTGAGCTCTGAGCTACTGCAACAGGGGAGAAAGAGTGCATGCAAGGGATTATTAAATTCAGCTGGTAGTGTCTTAACAAGGTCCTTTGAACTTTGCTAAAAGCTACACAGTTTATTTTAACTCCTTGGCACCGGCGCCTCCTGGCCCTTTAAGGGTTTCAGAAGTCGGGAGGTGGGGCGGGGTTTTAAGGTCACGTGACTGCCGTGATTCGCCGTCACATGATCGGGTCCCAATCAAAAGAGGCGCGTGCTCTCAGCACATATGTTTTTGTTAATTGCATGCAAATGTGTGGCCGCTCGGCATCAAAGCCCAGATGCCGGGAGGCCGCACATTTGCGTGTGCGGCCGGCGTGAAGAGGTTGCTACAAGCATCCTGTGCCTGTATAGGCAGTTTTCTGGTAAAGGTGAGTGGACCTTTTAAAATGGCATTTTTTTGCAAACTCATTAGTAGATAGACTTTTGCAAAGTCTTGTCATATTAAACAGTTGATATAGTCATTACATAAAAAATACACTTAGAAGCCTATTTCTTGATGGTTCCAGAGTTTGTTCGGGGCCTCAGTCTACATATTGCCCCTCCCATGGGTCGTAGAGAGCCTGTGTCATATATCTTGAAGCTTTGACCTTCCACCAACTCAAGCTGGAATCTCTGCAGGAGCTTGGCCATTACCACCTTCGCTTCCATCTGTATAAAAAAAGATACAGATAATCAGTTTAAAAGTCTGCTTATCCAAGAGGGACATAGTAGACAATTAATGCAGCCCCTGATTTCTCATATCTCGTATGTTCAAAGATGGAGATCTCTCTGCCATAATTCTTTGTTCTGTTGACGTCCAAGGAGTTTTAGGTATTCGTGCGCCTCTCTGTGTTTTATCTGCTTTTGTTACAATCCCTATAATATTAATTGGATGAAAAAATCCAGCGGGTGGAATGGGACCCCTTTATGGCCTCAGCAGGTGCACAATAGGTCAAAGAGAGCGCCAAATGAAAAATCCTTAGGAGTCCAAAGTCTGTTTTATTCAACTAGTTACAACAAGTAGGACAAAAGCCACCACTACGTTTCAGGGGCCATACAATCCTCTTCATCAGTCCCCTGAAACGTGTTGGCTGTCATTTGCCCTGCTCATTGTAACCAGCCAAACAATACAGAGTTTGGACTCCTAAGGATTTTTCATTTGGTGCCCTCTTTGACTTATCACACCTGGATTTCTCAACTTGGATCTTCTCCTGGGGAGTCCCTTACCTTTGTAGTGAGTTGTGGAATAAAGGCTATCTAGGCTCAAGTAATGACTTTCTTGCATTTCGATGACATTTGAAAATCAGCGTCTATAGCTCCCCTCTCTACCACTACCTCTTGGACAGCAGTTGTGCAGACCTAGCAGCTGAAACACAGAGATATCAAACTATCAAATGCACTCCCACCTTTCCTGAGGGATCTTATAGATAAACAGAAAGTTGATGGAAAGTAGATAAAATGAGCATCAATGTGTTGGAAAGGAGGAGGGAGTGTTATTAGGAAAACCTGTCACTTTGCCTATTCCTGTTAACTCAAGTCCCATTTTTTTTCTAAAAACAGCATCTGCTCGTTTAAACTGTCCAGTGAAAAATAATTTGAATAGAGTGACTTAAAGGGTCAGTTCACAAGCTTGTTTGGTAGACTTGATAGTTTATGTGTAACTGAATTCTTTCTCCTAGTCTTTTACTCACTTGTACCAGATTCAGTGAGATATTGCTGACTAGATCGCACAGCTTTCCAAATCTTCCAAGCTGGACTTAGGACAGGCAAGAACATAAAGTCATTGGCTCCTGTTGCTGTCAATAACAGCCAGTGAACCAATAAGGAGAGAGAAGGGGCGTCTCTGTGTATAAATGGAGTGAGCCTGCTTGGGTACCCCCATAGCAAGCTGTTTGTTATGGGGGCACTCGGCAGGAGGGACCAGGAGATCTGGTGGGAGGATCCGAGAAGAGGAGGATCAGGGCTGCTCTGTGCAAACAAACCATTGCACAGAGCAGGCAAGTAGGACATGTTTGTTATTTATTTATTTTAAATTGCCTTTAATATCACTTAAGTATGAGGGGGAGACCATATAAGATGCAGCTGAACTTTAACTCTACAGTCTCCCTCCACCAAACACTGAGTATCAAATTTGGGTGGATTAACCCTTTAAGTCACTCTACTCAGAATCTATTTTACTGAACAGTGTAAATGAGTAGATGCTTACGTGTTATCAAATATTCGGGGCTATTTTTAGAAAAAAAAAATGGTTGTTAAAAATGGTTTTAACTTGCGTTAAAAGGAATAGGCAAAGTAATAGGTTTGTTTAATAACACCCCTCCTGCCCCTCCAAGTACACACTGATACCTTCTCCTGGTTCCTTCACCGTTTTGTCATCTGTCAGAGTCCTTGGAAATAATGGGCATGGGGGAGAATATGACCTTCTCCTATTCCTCTCAGGATGAAGTGCTCAAGCGTGATCGGCAAACTATCAGACCTGAACACGTGGCAATGGGGGTAAGATCATTAACCCTGTGTGAACACAGGGTCCAACATGATGCTCACAAAGGGAATTGACCCAGTGATTTGACAAGTCGACAGTGGGAGAGTGCAAAAAAAGTATCAGTGGCCAGGGGATGGTGGGATATAGGGAGAATTTGTCACTTTTCCCTGTTCACATCTTCCAGTTGTGTATATTTCTCTATACTCCAGACATTTTCTTTGCCACATTGTTATGAAATAAAATGAATTAACATACCTGTGCAAAGGCTTGTCCAATACAAGAACGTGGCCCAAGAGAAAATGGGAAATATGTAAAATACGGCCTGTATAGAGAAAGAAAAATTACTAACTTCACGTGCCAAAGCATACTACTCTAAGACCTAATGTGCTTAGACATTTGTTGCTATGATAATTTCATTAATGTCTATGCTTAGAAGATAGTGAAACCCATTCACAGTTTAACAAAAGATCAGCCTTTGTGGGAATTTTTAATGTCCAAATAAAGTCTGCTTCAAGAAGCCCTTTGAATGAGTTGGGTGCTATGTCAATATTTTGCAGACATCTTTCATTAAGATACAATGCAGAGTGAATGCTTCAATAAATACTTGTTTGCCCTAAATAACTTTAGCCTTGGTTTCTGGGGGACACTTGGCAGCTGTTAGGAAAATAAACCTTTTTCTAATGAGTTGTACAAAATAATTTCCTCAGATGTTGGTGCTGCAAAGATGCCCAGTATTGGTTCAAATGGAAAAGACAATTAAAGAGATCTTGTGTACACAGTAAAATACATTTTATTGTTGTAGTTACATTAAAATGCCATGTAATGCATTTCATGGTTGCTTGCCACTTCTTCAGATCGTGTGTGTCGCATATACAGTTGTGGCCAAAATTATTCAACCCCCACTGAAATTGAGTGTTTTGGCCAGTTTGACATTGCTTTTGATCATTCAGTCATCTTGCTTACATTTACATTAAAGAGGCACTTGTAGGTCAGACAAATATAACATAACAGTTATAATGAAATAACCACAAATGTCTTTTCTGTGCTCACAGCATTATCAGTTTTATTCAACCCCCAAGTGACATTCAATCTTAGTACTTAGTACAGCATCCTTTTACAGTTATAACAGCTTTTAAACGTGAAGCATAGCTTGACACAAGTGTCTTGCAGCGATCTACGGGTATCTTCGCCCATTCTTCATGGGCAAAGGCCTCCAGTTCAGTCACATTCTTAGGCTTGCGCACTGCAACTGCTTTCTTTAAGTCCCACCAGAGGTTCTCAATCGGATTTAAGTCTGGTGACTGCGATGGCCACTCCAAAATGTTCCAGCCTTTCCTCTGCAACCATGCTCTAGTGGACTTGGAGGTATGCTTGGGATCATTGTCCTGTTGAAAGGTCCAACGTCTCCCAAGCCTCAGGTGTGTGACGGACTGCATCACGTTTCCATCCAATATCTCCTGGTACTGAAGAGAATTCATGGTACCTTGCACACGCTGAAGCTTCCCTGTACCTGCAGAAGCAAAACAGCCCCAAAGCATGATTGACCCTCCACCATGCTTCACAGTAGGCAAGGTGTTCTTTTCATCATAGGCCTTGTTCTTCCTCCTCCAAACATAGCGTTGATCCATGGGCCCAAACAGTTCTAATTTTGTTTCATCAGTCCACAGAACACTATCCCACAACTTTTGTGGTTTGTCCACATGGCTTTTGGCATACTGCAGTCGACTCTTCTTATTCTTTGGAGACAGCAAGGGGGTACGCCTGGGAGTTCTGGCACGGAGGCCTTCATTACGCAGTGTGCGTCTTATTGTCTGGGCTGAAACTTCTGTACCCACATCTGACAAATCTTTTCTCAGTTCCTCAGCAGTCACACGGGGACTTCTCTCCACTCTACGCTTCAGGTAGCGCACAGCAGTCGAAGTCAGCATCTTCTTTCTGCCACGACCAGGTAGCGTTTCAACAGTGCCCTTTGCCTTGAATTTGCGAATGATGCTTCCTAAGGTGTCTCTTGGTATGTTTAACATCTTTGCAATCTTCTTATAGCCATTGCCCTTCCTGTGAAGAGAAATCACCTCTTCTCTTGTCTTCCTGGACCATTCTCTTGCCTTCACCATGTTTGTAACCACACCAGTAAATGTCTAGAAGGAGCTGAGTATCACAGTCATTTTAAAGCTGCCTAATTGGTGCTTATTATGCTTGATTGCTGCTCGGTGACATCCACAGGTGTTTTCAATACCTGATGGAAAGCACCTGTATGAACCTCTGTTCTTCAGAGTGGTAGTCTTTAAGGGGTTGAATAATTGTGGCAATGAAGAAACCACATAAGAACCATTTACTACTGTATTACATAAACAATTGATGTCATTTTAGTTGCATTTGGGTAGTTACAACGTCCTTGTAGGATTTGATTCTGAATACAATTCCAAATGTACACTATAGTCCCTAAACCCCTTTACAGCATTGGGGGTTGAATAATTTTGGCCACAACTGTACTTTAGTCGGGGTACTACACATCAGGGGCGGACTGACCATTTGGAAACTCGGGCACTGCCCGAGGGCCCGGGGTCAGTAGGGGGCCCCATGAGATGCCCCTGGTAGCTTTTTCATAGGCTTTTTTGAGTTTGGGCAAGGACACAGGGGCCCCATGATCCCCTATTGCCGGGGGCCCCATGAGTTGTCAGTCCACCCCTGCTACACATTCTTCACATTGCTGACAACTTTCTTCAGAGCCTCAAATTAGGTGTTCTGATCAGGTCAATTTTTCATTTGGACCTGATCGGAAGGTCCATTCATCCCTATGGACAGGCAGGTGTAAACAGACTTGTGGCCATTTACACCCGCCTACTCTCTGGGTCTGCTAAAAAAAACAAAACAGAAGGGGACTCCATCCTCTTCTGTTTAGGAGGATCAGATCGGAGGTAGTTGGGTGTAAACAGACAGCGGAGTCTGTTTAGTCCTGGCCGCCAATAGAGCGGGCTTTGTATGTGTCATCCGCCAGTTCTGCTCCAATCAGCAGGGGATCTGTGAGCGGATTTGTAAAATTTCCCTTCGATTACTGTTCTGGTGACAACCCAAAATTTTGGATTTTCCTTCCCTTTCACTCTCAGTGATTAGGTTAACAGGACAAAGAGGGTGATTTTCTAATGGGGGCATAGATAGCCATAACAAATCCTGTTAGGTCTTCTAATATCTCTCCACTCTCACTCTGAAGCAATAAGGTCTGGCTCTCTATACATTAAAGGCATAGTTCAACTTTAAAAATGTAAGACATGCACCCACATTAATAAAAAATAAAATTTGCATTTATTACATTTTTACATAGAAGCCTGCAGGGCATAAACCTTCAATTATGGGGCTAGAGGAAGTAAACAATGGACTACATGCGCTATGTGAGTCTCTCTGTCACAGTGGCAGATAGGACTTGTAGTCTTCCATTCATGGATCCCTATAAATGAATCTGTGAATGGATGATAAGTCAGTGTGAGTGGAGCACACTAAATTTAAAAACAGGATGCTCATGGGAGAAGTACCCCACAACTCAGGTAAGTGGGTGGCAGCTTGAGTGTGCAGGTGGGGGGATGCAACCATGTTTCATGTTATACTCCAAAGATGGGTGTAACATAAAACATGGTCCCAAATTAGGAGCAAACATTTAATTGCGATCATCCACTGAAAGAGTAATCTGCATGGAGACAGAAATATTTCTCCATATTCCTGATGACAGGTTGGGTATCATTTTGGTGGTTTACTTCAACCTACCCAGATGCTATTCTAATATCTTTTCCAATCTGTGGTTCTAAAAGCCAAAATAAACTACATTATAAAGGTCTCTGAGAATACTAACACTACCCCTTTTTCTTATGGTTGCTTGCATGGGCCCGCAGAAATCATCTGAATTGGAAACTTTTAGCGTTACTATTTCCTTAGAACTGCTGGAACTTCTGCTATATCTCTATCCACTGTCAGATATTAGCAACTTTTAGCCCCTAAGCGGCTCCAAGGAGAGATAAAAGAAATTTAAAGCCATTTAAATCCTACAATAAGGCAACACTGATGCATGAAAACCTTTACATGTCTACACCAGTGGTTTGCAGGCTGTGGTTCCTGGGCTGAATGCGGCCCTTTGCTTGCCTTTATTCAGCCATTAGGGCACTTTTACTCCCACTGATATGAGGCACTATTTCTCCACCACCTCCTGACTCCATCAATACAGCACCATTCCTCCCACTGACACCAGTGATGGGGCCTAATTCCTCTCAACGACAGCAACAACTGGACATAATTGCTTCCAATGACTCCAAAGATAGGGCACTATTCCTCTCACTGACACCAATAATAGGTGGCATAATGTCAGGGAGCGAGGAGCCAGACACACAAGGAGGTGCAATTAAAGGTAGGTTTATTAATTTTAAAATAAAGATAAGAGTCTATGCAAGTCCAACAGCGGAAATCGTAGCCAAAGCCGGGGTCAAGAGCCAGGAAGAATCGTCGCCAGAGCCGGGATCATGAGCCAGGAACAATGGTCGCCAGAGCCGGGGTCAGAAGCCAGGAGGAGTCTTAGCCAAAGCCGAGTCGGTATCCAGGAAAGCAATGAGTAGCTAAACAGGAGCTTGCTGTTGTGCAACAGACAGGACACGAATGCAATGGACAGCCACATACAGCAGACTTATATGTGATAAGCCGCCACCTCCTGGGGGAGGAGCCGCAGAGGGCTGAAAGCATAAAGGATCCCACAATGCTTTGTAGACACCTAAGATGGATGCCAGCACATGGAGCAGCACAAGGTCTGAGGAAAGGTAGGACCTTGACACATAATTACTCTCAGGGAAACCAAAATGGAGCATAATTCCTCCTGGTGTCACTGATACCCCACTGATACCAACAATAAGGGACAATGGGTCATGGGCGCTATGAAATTTTTAAAATCCTACTGAACACCAAGCCTGAGGCATTGTATACTCCCAGTGATGAAAAAACATTTTCTACTCCCATCGGCTACAGTCTGCCCTCCCCAAATTCTGAAGGACAAGCAACCGACCTTTTGTTTAAAACATTTGGAGACCCTTTGTCTAGACCAAAACCAATGATAACTACGGTTTTTAGGCAAACATGCTATTTCCAATGTATCACAGAGGTAACAATTAGCACAGGTAAGAAAAAAACAATTACTTGGGAGCATCAGGGTGAAATCGATCTGGGTTGAATACAAGGGGATCTGGGTAAAACTGCTCCATCCTTCCCATGACGTAGGTGTTAAACTATGCAAAGAAAAGAGAGAGGTTTATTTTATAAAATTAAATTGGTCAAACTTTCTTTCAGTAAGTAGAACATTCCACATTTTTATAAAGTGGATTGATTCTAGAACACTGCAATACTTAATGAACATCAGGTGTGATACAGGATGTAGTTGTACTCTATGCGATATACAATGATGAGCCATAACATTATGACCACTGACAGGTAACGTGAATAACATTCATTATCTTGTTACAATGACATCTGAAAGTGTGTGGACTATATTAGGCAGCAGGTGAAACATGTTGTCCATGAAGTTGATGTGTTGAAAGCAGAAAAAAATGGGCAAGTGTAAGGATCTGAGTGACTTCGACAAGGGCCAAATCATAATGGCTAGACAACTAGGTTAGAGCAACTCCATAACTTTAGCTCTTGTGGGATGTTCTCTGTCTTCAGTGGTCAGGAGTCGGACCTACCAAAAGTGGACCAAGGAAGGAAAACCAGTGAACCGGTGAAAGGATCAAGGGAAGCTAAGGCTCACTGATGCACATGGGGAGTGAAGGCTGGCCTGTGTAGTCCAATCCAATACAAGAGCTACTGTAGCTGAAACTGCTGTAAAAGTTAATACTGGTCCTGGAAGAAAGGTGTCAGAACACAAACAGCAAAGTGTAAGGGGTTGTGTAGCCACAGACTGGTCAGGGTGCCCATGCTGAGCAATTTTCACAGTCAAAAGCACCAACAATGGGCACATAAGCGCCAAAACTGTACCATGGAGCAATAGAAAAAAGTGGCCTGGTGTAAAAAAAACAGAAGTAATGCCCGTGATCAAAGAAATGCCTGTGCGCACAGAATCAGGGCTGTGCATGCATCTACACGTGCACGTGTGTGTGTGAGCATTAGCATGCCCATGAGCAATGGACGTTTGAATAGGCTTTGCCATCCAGTCACCTAGTTGAAGCACTGCAAGATTTAGGAACATTGTTGAACATTGGTCGTCAGGAACATTGGTTGTCAGGAACATTGGTTGTCAGGAACATTGGTTGTCAGCTCCTTCTGCCTGTGACCTGATTGTCAGATGGTCTGACCCCACTTGTTCCTAAACCTCTGTTGCCGACTCTGGCTTGTGAGCCAACCTTGCCTCCAGTACCTTCTCTGCCCACCTGATACTGGCCTTGGCCAGGCACTGACTCTGCTCCTGGTTTTTTAATTTTTACCTCTGCTACCCAGTTATTGCCAGTGTCTACACAAATGAAACAAAGCAGGGAGCCAGATTAGTGTGTGGTTAAAACCAACACTTTAATTCCATTTCTCACTTACATCTGAAAGACCTGTAGACTGCTCCAGGTGTCAGAGTGGTGGTGTAATGACAGCTTACAGCAATATGGATGGGACTGATAAGGCTGCAGGGCACAAGCAGGGATGCACTGCAAGATGACAGATCGGCCGCGTCTCTCCTCTCACTCACAGCACTAACACAGTCAGGCAGACAGGAGAACATGACAGCCTGTATGTGGGCAGGCCGCAAAGTGTTTGTGGCCTCGCCTCCATTTTAAAAGCTGGCCCACCCAAGAAAAGGATGCTATTTAAAAGCTGTCAGAGCAGCCGACTAGAGCCAATCAGTGCATATTTTTTATAATGTACATAGAAAAAATACGCACATTATTAAAAAATACGCACAGCGTGTTTCTGTGGCCCCGCCTACATGTCAGGGTCCTGTCCACAGCAGAAATTCTGAAAGATCTGGCATTTCTGCCAGTACCCTGCATGGCCGCAGAAGCACGCATCAGTCTGGTGCCAGATGGCCTTCATAAGGAGGCTCATCACTTCCTCAAGTTCCTGGGTGATCTCCAGCTCCCCGTGCCTTGTTCCTGTTTCCTTTGATTTCCTGTTACCAACTCGGCTTGCTCCTGGACCTGTCTCTCTGATTTACCCCTGATCTGACCTTGGCTTGGCTTACGGATACTCTCTCTCTCTCCTCTGTGTATGACCTTGGCTATCCCATCTGACTACGTCTGCTCTGATTCCCACATGGTACCTGACCTTGGTTTGAACCGACTACCCAGTAAACATCTAATCCCGGAAGTTCTTGCATACTACACTCAGGCGCCTCCTGTCTGCAGACCTATCTCCGTGCACCAGCTGTGCTTCTGGGTCGACCACCAACCAGCACTCCTACAGGCGACCTGTGCAACTTTGGGCCTGACTCCCGCTGTCCCACTCTCAGGGGAGTCCGGAACTTAGCCGCAAGGGAAGCCCTCTCTCCATTGGCCTCCATCACCAGGTACATGATACTACATTTTTAAAGCTGGCATGCCCAGGAAAAGGATGCGATTTAAGAGCTGTCAGAGCAGTTGACTAGAGTCAATCAGTGCATATTTTTTATGTATGTAAAAAAATATGCACATTATTAAAAAAAATAGGCACATCATAAAAAAAAAGTGGAAAATTATATATAAAAAATTCCAAATGCTAAAAAATAACCCAGGATATTATATAATAGTACTAATCTCCATTTCGACCTCTGGGTGCCAAGGTGTTCAGGGTAAATATCCCTCCCTCTTAGATTGTAAGCTCTAAAGAGCAGGGCCCTCTGAATCCTCCTGTATTCATTTATACTGTCTGCCCTTATGTTGTAAAGTGCTGTGCAAACTGTTGTCGTTGTATAAGTCCTGTATTATAATAATAATAATAATAATAATAAATATCCAAAAAGTCTCCCTATTGCAAAGTCTCTGGAACCTCTCCACCAGGGAGTCACAAGGTGGAACAGACTCCATTACCCAGACTCTTAGATCTTCTATGGATTTGACATGATGAGTTTTATGATGATAAAGTGAGGGCAGTTCCTCCCAATGGGGACACAGACAGCAAATAAAAACCTGACAGAAGTACTATCTTGTCTCCACTTTGCCTTTAACCACCACCTACACTCTAAGGGTTCGTTTACCCTTGCTTCGACTTTAACGCATATTAAAGCACCTACTGCTTCAACATATTTTTTGATGCTTCTGTGATGCTTTTTTGAAGCTCTCACGAAGCTTGGCAAATGCCCTGTATGTGTTGATTTTCTATTTGTTTTAAAGGGGCCCAGCAGAACCCCGGCTCAGCAGTACCCCCACTCAGTAGATCCCCAGCTCATTAGTACCCCCGTTCAGCAGATACCCAGCTTATAAGTACCCTCATTCAGCAGATACCCTGCTCAGTAGTAACCCCCAGCTCTGCTGATCCTCTGGTTTGCTGATCCTCCTCTCTCTCTCTGGTCCTTGCTCACCTCCTGTTACACTGCTCCCATGCTACGCACCACATGTGACATCTGCTAGTTTCTCCTGCTCTGGTCCTCCAGCCTTGCTGATCTTCTGCAGCGCAGTCCTCTCTCTATGGTCCCCACTCACCGCTAGTTGGCTTCCCAGTGCATCTTGGAATATGTCATACCTCCGATTCCTCCAAAAAAAAGAGAGCCTAAAATCTGCCAGTACTATTAGTGAGCGTTGTCACAAACTTCTATAGAGGCTTTGAAGATGCTTTGTGGCGCCAAGAAAGTGACATGGGATATCATTATTGAAGCAAAACAAAACAATTACAACAGTGTGAACAGGACTGTAAGGTAACCATTTTATTTAGTGAGAGGTGCTTTGATTGGCATTCAAAGTGCTTTAAAAAAGAGCGTCAAATGCCACATTTTCAGGCAAATGTAATCCAGGTCTAAATCTCAACACCCACTATAATTCAACAATTAATAATGAAAATAATTCTGATACCAGTGCCAATTGAAATTTGTTTAACCACTTGCCTACCAGGCACTTTTACTCCCTTCGTGCCCAGGCCAACTTTCAGCTTTCACTTTGAATGACAATTGCGCGGTCATACAACATTGTGCCCATATGAAGTTTTTACCATTTTTTTCACACACATAGAGCTTTCTTTTGGTTGTATTTAATCACCACTGGGTGTTTTATTTTTTGCACTATAAACAAAAAAAAAAGAGCAAAAAATTAAAAATAATTTTTTCTTTGTTTCTATTATAAAAATTTGCAAACAGGTAATTTTTCTCCTTCACTGATGTGTATTGATGAGGCTGCACTGATAGGCTGCATTGATGAGGCAGCACTGGTGGGCATTGATGAGGAGGCACTGATGATGCTGCACTGACAGGCAGCACTGAGAGGTGGCATTGATGGGCAGCACTGACTGACAGCATTGGGCATTCATGAGGAGGCACTGATGATGCTGCGCTGACAGGCAGCTGAGCACTGATGGCACTGGCAGCTGGGAGAGGTGATGATACTGACTGATGGGCGCAGCATTGACAGCATTCATGAGGAGGCACTGATGATGACAGGCAGCACTGATGGGCGCTTTGCATTGGGCAATGATGGGCACTGATTTAGGTGGGGATAGGTGGTACTGATGGGCGGTGCTGACTGGTGGCACTGCTGGGTTGCACTGATCGTCATGGCATGGATCATCAGTGCCGTGATGATCAATGCAGATGTCCTCTGTGTCATTTGCTGGTTATCGGCAGTACTTTGCTCATGCTGTGACAGTATGAGGAAAGTGCTGCTGATAACTGGCAACTGTATTTACATTGTGATCTGCTGTGTCATTGGACGCAGCTGATCACATGGTAAAAGGCCACTGTGATTGGCCTTTTACTTTATCATGTGATAAGCTGTGTCCATAGGACATAGCAATCACGGAGAGTGCCTGCTGCGTGCCGTTGGGGAGCGCTTGGGAGGGTGCATTCTTGGAGGACGTCATATGACCAGAACTGGACAACAGCGCTGTAGCTTTCATTTGGCTATAGCTCAGAGCTCTGAGGAAGAAGGCATGACCTTCGAAATGCGTCAGCTGTACTGAGTGGCTACCCCCATGATGGGATTCGCACTGCCCCTTGTATTAAAGTCCCTTGGAGGACTTACATGCCTGTTTTTATTCCCTGTTTATGAGTACCATTCTTTTACTAAATAAATTTTGGTTACTGAGGTAATGCGCAAGGTTGGTGCGCTTCTTGTTGTTTTACTTCACTAGACATCCACAATCCCTGAGACTGCTTCTGGATGTCACCATCTTGTTTGTGATGTTAGCAGACCCAGAAGACTCTTTCTAGTGACCAAGAATGTCACTCAAGTGACATTCTATAGTATTCTCCTTCTCTTCTCCCCAGGCAGATACATAAAATAGTATATAGAGAGGGGAGGGGTAAAGTTGCTGGTCCACCACAGACAGTAATGAGACACTCCCAGAAGAAGAGGGGGCTATGACATGCACAAAGGGAGAGGCCTGTGCTAGGGAATCAAGTAGTCTAATTTTGTAGCAAATTCAAAGACAAAATTCATGTAAAAGAAAAATACTGCAAGTAAGTATGTAAAACAGTAGTCATTACTGTATTAGACTGTAAACATTGCTTGGGTCAGTGGGTGCAATAGTGGTTTGGATCTTACCATCAGGCTTGAGTTAGCGGGAATTCTCACGCCCTCTATAACAATTTCTTCTTCTAGGGCACGTGATGTACCTGGACCAGGAGGGTAGAGTCTTAAACTTTCCTTCAAGACCTACAGAACATGTACATTAAATCCAAAGTTTACCAGTCTAGTGATTTTGATATGTAATATATCAGACAGCAAAGGTCTTTTTGTTATTACATTGATTTCCATTTTTAACCCCCTAATGCCTGAACACACTTTTGAAACTTTGACGTGTTTGTAAAATATAAAAATCACTGCAACTACTTAGTGAATCTTGGTGAATTATACTGCATTTTTTCCCAAGACAAATTGGGCTTTTGTTTGGTCGTAAATGGTAAACTGGACCAAAATAGTGGGGGAAAAAAAAAAAAAACTTTTTACTATTTAGCAATATGTTTCTTGCCATTACTATGGCCCACCATGAAAAAAAAAACCTCCTGATGTTTGCAGTGATATGCGCATCTTATTTGTACCAGGTTTTTTTTTATCATGCCTAAGTACACTGACACTAAATTAAAAAGAAAAAAAAACAACTTTTATTTATTTCTACAAAAAAAAAAAGAAGTAAAAAAAAGTGACCATTGACCCCTAACATTTGGACCCAATCTTGAGCCTGACAGTAACCCAGATCAAACTCTGATCTATTTTATCTTTATTTATTATAATTAATTCACACATTTACATTTTTTTTTTTTTAACATTTTCTCCTTTGCCTAGCAAAAAAAGACTCAATTTATCTTTTTCTCCATTCAGGAGAAACAGAGTACATGGGTGCGGTTACTGACTGATCATGGTGACAGCCAAGCACAGGCTATCCCAGTGATCACATAATTGAGAAGCTGTACTCTCGGGTCCTGATCATTACTATGAGACCTGAAAGGGTTGGTGACAGCTTGGTCTCCGTGCTGGGAGCTCGCTTCCAGCACAACTGCTGGTGCGCATAAATGTGGTGCCTTGGAAGAAGGCCCATTTCCCTGATGGCACATATACAGTATGTGTGACACTGGCAGGAATTACTATTCTACACAAATAATCTATACACACACACACTACTGGCCCTGTAATCTATTTCTTTATTAGGTTGTTTCTTACTATATTTTTCTGCCTCCTTGCAATGTCCTCCTGAAACTCCCGAACCTCTCTGTTTCCCCCTCACTTCCATTTATTTGGAACAAACAGCGCACAGTAGTTGTAGTCATGTACACTGCTCTATGTGAACTGAAATTCTCATAGTCCATCTCAGGAGCATGCAAGAGAGGGTAGCTACATTCCTACATACAGCGGGACCATGGAGAACAAATGTAGCAGCCATCTAACAGGGAGTCAGATCACAGCAAAAAAACAAGGAATTTGGAGATTTGGAAGAGGCCAAGAGCCTCATTAGACCAGGCGTTTTCCCAATCTTCTATTGTCCACTTTTGGTGGGCCTGTGTGAACTGTAGCCTCCGTTTCCTGTTCTTAGCTGACTGGAGTGGCACCCAGTGTGGTCTTCTGCTGCTGTAGCCCATCTGCTTCAAGGTTGAACATGCTGTGCATTCAGAGGTGGTATTCTGCATACCTTGGTTGTAACGAGTGGTTGTTTGAACTACTGTTGCCTTTCTAACAACTTGAACCAGTTCTCCTCTTCTCTGCCCATTCTCTGACCTCAACAAGGCATTTTCGTCCACACAACTGCCACTCGCTGGATAAAAAAAATACACAAAAATGGTGTAGCGCTCTTATCAATACATAAATACTATAATAATAAATAGTGATCACATCCCTTATAGGGTATCCAAGTGGAAAAAAAATAAATAAAAAACTCAAGTGAATAGATAACATAAACCAATGGTCTCCAATAGACCAATTGTGATACAACTATACAAAATAAAGTGCTGATTATTCCAGATGTCAATTGAGATAAGTGAAAAAAACTTGAAAATCAAAAACAATTCATAAATGGTGAGAATCACATGTGATCCCAGCACTGGGGGATAAGTATATCAATAATTGTGAAAAAAGTGCTCAGTGCTAAAAACACTTCAAATAACGTGTACAAATACAAAACTCACGTCCAAAACCTTATAATGGATAATGATAATGATGAAAAATAAACATATGAATCCCCTATATAATAAAAAATGCAATATAAGTAGTACTAAACAAAAGTCCCAAAAAAATAATGTGACACCAGTGTTCCAAAAACATGCAGGTGATCCTGTGCGTTGCAGCCTTTGGTGATTAATCCAAAAATAGCTAAATTGGCTCCTCACCTCCTTACCGTGACCCTAAAAAGGGCCTGCTAGCTTTTGGGATCACTCCTGGACCCTCCAAGTATGGATTCCTCTTAAGAGTATCCTCCAATGTGGACAAAAACTTGCATCAGGTAAATGCATGTAAGCTTTTCCAGGTCAGGATCACCTCCAAACTCCCCCTTGGCTACAATAAGTGTGACTAGCTCCCATAGAATCCATACAAAGAGAGAACCTCCATAGTGCAATATTGTTTATTATTAAAAATAAAAGGCAATGTAAACCATTAAACTCACATTAGTTCAGCAGATAGCCTTAGAACCTCATGCTACGGATGTACTTGCATGGGTTCATGTGGAGTACAAAGATGGCATTCACGCCCGAAACTGCATCACCACGTCACCTACGCGTTGCGTCATGGCACACGTGACTTCATCACAATCACAATTGGTCTATTGGAGACCATTGGTTTATGTTATATATTCACTGAGTTTTTCATTTATTTTTTTTCCACTTGGATACCCTATAAGAGATGTGATCACTATTTTTATTTATTATTATTATTATTATTATTATAGTATTTATGTGTTGATAAGAGCGCTACACCATTTTTGTGTATTTTTTTTAGCTTTCTCACTTATAGGTAATAAGGTGCAGGTGTGAGCAGCCTTATCCATTACTAGCTACATTCACCCTTAGAGCGCAGGAGGTTTCCATTATACATTGCCACTCACTGGATATTTTCTCTTTTCCGGACCATTCTCTGTAAACCCTAGAGATGGTTGTGCGGGAAAATCCCAGGAGATCAGCAGTTTTTGAAATATTCAGACTAGCCTGTCTGGCCCCAACAAACCACCAAACCACCTTTCTTCCCCATTCTGATGCTCAGTTTGAACTCCAGCAAGTCGTCTTCACCACGTCTAGATGTCTAAATGCTTGGAGTTTCTGCCATGTGATTGGCTGATTAGCAATATGTGTTACCAATAGGTGTACCTAATAAAGAGGCCAGTGAGTGTATGTGCCTGCAGTGAAACATTACATTGTGCATAATCTCAGCGTAAGCAAAGAAGCTTGTAAAGTTATTGAAAGGTCCACCTTTAAACTATCTTAGTACAGGACAGTAAGCCACCTATGTGTATTAATATATATATATATATATATATATATATATATATATATATATGTGTGTGTGTTTTGCTTTGGTCATTGTGTTTCCTCAACTGGTCTTTTTAAATATAGAACAACTTGTAAACTGGACTCTTTTTTTCAGCTACCTGGGACAAGTATTGCAGTTTTCCAAGATCTTCATACTCAAGGTCTCTTTTGGAACCAATAACATCATCCACTTCATCCTGAGCCCTGAAAAGTGAACACAAGTTTGATGCTTAATACATTTCGCCTACTAAGCAAAAAGCGAACCATCGTTCAACATAAGTGCCATCATCCCTGTGTACACTGGAGAACTCAACTACCAAAAAGAATGGGATTGTTTGGCACTAAATCAGTACAACCAAATGTGTGTATAATACAATACAAATTATACAAAAATACAAATAATACAGTTATTTGTATTTTACTTACATTTGATTGTACGGATATAGTGCTTAAAAAGTACCATTTCTGGTAGTTGAGTTGTTTAATATGTATAATATTTAACCAATGTACTGTGAGTTCTGTACTGTTCACTTGTCTTTATCTATTTTACGATGTTTTAGAAGATTTTTCATCCTACAACAGCTAAATGGATATTTTTGTAATTATACAGTAGCTTCATGTAATACAATCAGAAATAAACACTTAAAGGATAAGTTCACCTTTGGAACATGTTACATGTTCTATCCATTTTTTAGGGTGTTCCCATAGCAGCAGCCGCCGCATGTCGCGCTCTCCTCCCTCTGACAGATAGTACGGGGAGAAGTTTCCTTATGGCCACGTCACTCATTCACAGAATTCTGTGAATGCCTATAAATCCCGTCAGCCATAGCGGCTGTCGGCTTGTAGTTTTCAATGGGATGTGGATGTACGGTCAAGCAGATATTCTGACAGGAAGCTTGAATGAACTCCCACAGCGCTCCACAGCGCTGTGGTAGTTCATTTAAGCTTCCTGTCAGAATATCTGCTTGACCGTACATCTACATCCCTTGCGGCAAGCAGATATTGTGACAGGTCTGCAGGAGACCTGCATGGCATCAGCAATCTACTGATCACTGCTGCAATGCTTTCCAGGCTCCTTTGGGCAAAAATAATAACTGCACATTTTTTTGCCTGCAAAAAAATGTGCATTTATTATTTTTGTCCAAAAGGTGAACTTATCCTTTAAATTATTCGGCTTTCCCCAAGAAAAAGTTTGATTTGTTAAGGGATGACAGACCGGTAAAGCAGTATGTTAATCAGATTATCTGTCTCACTTTTTCAGAATGTCCGGGTTCCGTGCCAGTTCTATCAATGTAAATGATAACTGGTTGGCAGTTGTTTCTTGCCCTGAAAAGGACACAAGCACAAGAGCTAGCAAACAACATGGTTAATTTACAAATACCAGAGAAATGGAAACTGGAGCAAAACTGAAGCTCGCTAATGGCAGCTATGCAAAAACTAAATGAGGGTGAAAGATAAAATCGGATTGGTTGTTTTAGGGTATTGCCGCACATTTGCCCTGATTTGTATTGCTCCAATGTTTGTAAAACGTGCCCACCTACCCATTCAGGCAGAGTGACAGAGCCTCTTGACAGCTCAAGCAAGGTACACTCACCAATACAAACCGTCCTTGACAACTTCCTGCTGTAGGAATCCATCCTGGATATGCTCCATTGTCATATGGTGTCAAAATGTAGCTGGGCAGAAGACAGCGCTGATCCCCCATGTGTAGCTGGGCGGAAGACAGCGCTGATCCCCCATGTGTAGCTGGGCAGAAGACAGCGCTGATCCCCCATGTGTAGCTGGGCGGAAGACAGCAGCGCTGATCCCCCATGTGTAGCTGGGCTGGGCAGATCCCCCAGACAGCGCTGATCCCCCATGTGTAGCTGGGCAGAAGACAGCGCTGATCCCCCATGTGTAGCTGGGCAGAAGACAGCGCTGATCCCCCATGTGTAGCTGGGCAGAAGACAGCGCTAATCCCCCATGTATAGCTGGGCAGAAGACCCCTGATCCCCCATGTGTAGCTGGGCAGAAGACAGCGCTGATCCCCCATGTGTAGCTGGGCAGAAGACAGCGCTGATCCCCATGTGTAGCTGGGCAGAAGACAGCGCTGATCCCCCATGTGTAGCTGGGCATAAGACAGCGCTGATCCCCCATGTGTAGCTGGGCAGAAGACAGCGCTGATCTCCCATGTGTAGCTGGGCAGAAGACAGCGCTGATCCCCCATGTATAGCTGGGCAGAAGACAGTGCTGATCCCCCATGTGACAAAGTTTCAAATCAGTTGCTGCCATGGGCAATATATCTTAGTGGGGGGCAAACAGGGGTCATTGTCACCACTCTCCTCTGCATAAAAATGATCAGTGTCACATTAAATCAGAGCTCCTGATCTGCATACTTGCACCAGGTCAAAATAAACATAAAATGGAATGGCACCTAAATGAGAAGTTCCGCTTTTGCGCCGACTTTGTTTTCTTTTTCAAAACTAGGTAGCCGTTTCCACTTTCACTCGGATTGCCTAGGGGTGGTGAAATGAGCAGGATGGAGGAAGCTTTTTTTAATAATAGAATTAGGAACAGCACAAGTAACACACTCTACTGACTGTAATTTATGTCCCTTGTGCTGATTTTTTTGTTTGCAATATTGGCTGCACGTAGGCTTTAAACCAAATTCTATACTATCCAATTTATTTGAATATATTTTCTGCATTTACACCTTTGTTCTGAACAATGCCACTGTCTGACTTGTTTTTCAACTGGTTATTGTATCAGTTGTATAGTAATAATTTTCTGGCTTATCCTGAAACTTTCCTTATTGCAAAAAATATATACTTTTGTAGAACAGTTAAAAAAAGGTGAAAACTTATAATTCGGTGCCCCAGGCCCCAGGCAGTTCTACATGCTCATTAAAACCATTTTACATTAATGGATTTGATTACAAACCTGCAAGGAAGAAAGTAACAAAATTATCTATCAAATCTTCCATATCACATTCATCTTCCTGGGCTGTGAAGAGAGGGAAGAGCAAATTAGTCTCTTGAAAAAAAAAATGCTTATCCTCAGATGTGTAATTAGCATCAAGATCAGAAGCAGGCCTTACTTTTTCCCTAGGAATGGCCCCTAAAGGTTTTGCAGCAAAACCCCTGAAAACAGTAAAGAACGAGTTGGGGGACCTTTTTAAAAACTTCCAGTACTGGAGAAATTGTTTTACTTTTTCATAGTAATGGCCTCTAAATATTTTGTAACATAACCCCTGAAAACAGTAAAGAAAGCGCAGGGGGACTTCTTCTAAAACCTCTTCCAGGGGGACCTCTCCAAAAATTGCAGAATCTGCCTTACTTCTTTGATAGGTATGGCCCCTAAATGTTTTGCATCATAACCCCTGACAACAGTAGAAAATGAGCAGGTAGTCCTTTTCAAAAATCAGAGAATCAGCCTTACCTTTTTCTCATGTCTAGCCCCTAAATGTTTTATATCATAAGCCCTGACAAAAGTAAAGACTGGGTGGGGGGACCTCTTTCAAATCCTTTCGAGCCAGGACCTCCTCCAAGATTGGAGCATCAGCCTTAGTTTTTTCCTAGTTATGGCCCCTAAATGTTTTACATCACAGCCTCTGGCAACAGTAGAGGATAAGCAGGGGGGTCTATTTTGTGTGGAATAAGTGTTTTTACCTTTTCTTTAATAAATGTGATATGTGCAGGGGCAGACTGACCATTTGGAAACTTGGGCACTTCCCGAGGGCCTGGGGTCAGTAGGGGGCCCCATGAGATGCCCCTGGTACCTTTTTCATAGGCTTTTTTGAGTTTGGGCAAGGACACAGGGGCCCCATGATCCCCTATTGCCCGGGGGCCCCATGAGTTGTCAGTCCGCCCCTGGATATGTGAGAACTCTTTTGGCTTACCAGCCCCTTTAAGGATCTGTGTGAGTATATCCAACGGAATGTCTTCTCCATCTTCAATAGCCTTTCTGCGTCTCTCGATACATTCTCTCCCAGTTTTCCTGAGAAGTCTGAGGCTCTCTTGAGTATCTTTAATATACTTCTGCTTTTCCAAGGAGAACTAGCAAGAAAGACATACTGTAATAAACATAACATAATAAGGTTCATACAATAGATGCTGTAAGATTCATTACACTGTGTAATGTAACAGGATGGGTAATCAGCTGCATGATCAGACAAAGAGTAACTGTAAACTGCAGTTTACTAAACAGCATTAGAATGGCAAAGACCATGCATGCACAGCAGAATAAAGCAAGGCAGATTATGAAAGCTGCACAAACATGAACGCTGCACATCAATGTCTCTGGGACTCAATCATGTGGCTACTACTTCAGTAAAACAATTCAGAACACAGCTACTCGCGATTGTCCTCATAAACAGCATCTCTTACAATAAAAACCAGGTTAGCTATGGTAACAAGGTGAATAGCTGGAGGGATCCAGGGTCATTCCAATGGAACTGTAGTTGGGTGTATGGAGCATTCGAGCGTCGCATGGGTTTTGATTTGGACACCTTCTTTCTAGTTAGCTTAGTTGTCTGTTACTACACTTGGATGGCACGGTGTCAGGTCTCAGAAGGTCCTCCCTGTTCAGGTGGTGGTGAGTGACATTCTTGGTGAGGTTGGGAAAATTCGGGGTCTTGAGAAAGACAGGCTGCGGCGTAGGGCTTGGATGGAGGCGTGGAGGAGCATCAAGCCTGTTGCTGCGGTCTGTTGATCTCGGGTGATGGGAACTGTCCCTGTTTTCTGCCTCTTGCACTCCCTAGCTTTTGCGTTTCGGTCTTTGGTAGCCTTTTGCATGGTAGGTTGTAGGGGTCAGACGTGGAAGATCTGTGGGTTCCTTAGCCCTCCCCTGTAGTGTAATAGTGTTGTTAGGGTATTATTGTATATAGTTTAGGCCATATAGGCCGTAAGTGGCAGGTTTAATATGGAAATTGAATATGGTTTTATATCTGAGCCATAAAGGCTCCTAATTATATGGTCTCGGCCATAAAGGCCTTGTACTGTAGATATTGTATATACCTTTAGATTTCCCTTTCAGGTTATAGACTTTTATTTATGAGCCGCTCAGGCTATGTTTGAGTTTTTTTTCCCCCAGGGACTGTTGGGACTTTTTAGTTTCCTTTGTGTTGAGTTTTGTATTTATTTATTCATTTATATTTTGTACTTTTATACATAAGTTTGATGGATATGTATGACATTAATACATAAATAAAAAATCTCCAATGGAACTGTAGTACTCTGGCAGCAATCAGGTAGGGACTCCCCACTATAGCTGAGTCTTTTGAAGATGTGTGCTGTTGAGCTCTGTCTGCCTGCATGCCAGTTCTGACAGTGAGGGGCCTCCCACCTGGCTGAAGATTACTTGCCAAGCTACCTCTGCCTCATCCGGTGGGGACCCTTGCAGTTTCTGAGGAAGGGAACTAGAGAAACGTATACAGGCCATAGACGGTTCGTTTATCGGCCAAGTTTTTGTCTGAAAGAATAAATCGGCCGATTTTCGCACTGTTAGTGGGGCAATGGAATCGCAGATTTTTGCGGTTCCTCATTTTTTTTTATTGGTCATGCTGGAAAATTTGTGAAAAATGGCCGATTTACGCCAAGTTTTTGTCTGAAAGAATAAATCGGCCGATTTTCGCACTGTTAGTGGGGCAATGGAATCGCAGATTTTTGCGGTTCCTCATTTTTTTTATTGGTCATGCTGGAAAATTTGTGAAAAATGGCCGATTTACGCAATCATTGGTGGCAACAGAACAAACAAAAAATAGGAATGCACTGTGAATTACTAAATATACATCTGTAATCAAAAGTCCACATACCGTATTTGTCGGCGTATAAGACGACCCCCTACTTTTCCTGTTAAAATATAGGGTTTGAGCTATACTCGCCGTATAAGACTACCCCTCTTCCAACGCACACCAAATAAAAATGAAAAAACATCAGATTTGATTTCAATATGGTACGGTATTTCAGTATGGTATTCCAATGATGGGGCACTATTCCTCCCACTGATACCAATGATGAGGCACTACTCCTCCCACTGACACTAATGATGGGGCACTATTTCATCCACTGACACCAATGATGGGGCACTATTCCTCCCACTGATACCAATGATGGGGCACTATTCCTCCCACTGATACCAATGATGGGACACTATTCCTCCCACTGACACCAATGATGGTGCCCCATCATTAGTGTCAGTGTGTGAGGAATAGTGTCCCATCATTAGTGTCAGTGGGAGGAATAGTGCCCCATCATTGGTCAGTGAGAGGAATATTGCCCCATCATTGGTCAGTGGGAGGAATAGTGCCCCATCATTGGTGTCAGTGGGAAGAATCATGCCCCATCATTGGTGTCAGTGGGAGGAATAGTGTCCCATCATTAGTGTCAGTGGGAGGAATAGTGCTCCATCATTTGTGTCAGTGGGAGGAATAGTGCACCCCATCATTGGTGTCAGTGGGAGGAATAGCACCCCATCATTGGTGTCAGTGGGAGGAATAGTGTCCCATCATTAGTGTCAGTGGGAGGAATAGTGCTCCATCATTGGTGTCAGTGGGAGGAATAGTGCCCCATCATTGGTGTCAGTGGGAGGAATAGCGCCCCATCATTGGTATCAGTGGCAGGAATTGCGCCCCATCATTGGTGTCAGTGGGAGGAATAGCGCCCCATCATTGGTATCAGTGGAAGGAATAGTGCCCCATCATTGGTGTCAGTGGGGAGGAGGAATAGTGCCCCATTGTTGGTGTCAGTGGGGAGGAGGAATAGTGCCCCATGGTTGGTGTCAGGGGGAGGAATAGTGCCCCATCATTGGTGTCAGTGGGGATAATAGTGCCCCACCATTGGTATCAGTGGGGGAGAAAAGTGCCCCATCATTGGTGTCAGTGGGGGAGGAATAGTGCCCCATCATTAGTGTCAGTGGGGAGGAGGAATAGTGCCCCATCGTTGGTGTCAGTGGGGAGGAGGAATAGTGCCCCATGGTTGGTGTCAGTGGGGGAGGAATAGTGCCCCATCATTGGTGTCAGTGGTGATAATAGTGCCCCACCATTGGTATCAGTGGGGAGGAAAAGTGCCCCATCATTGGTGTCAGTGGGGGAGGAATAGTGCCCCATCATTGGTGTCAGTGGGGAGGAGGAATAGTGCCCCATCGTTGGTGTCAGTGGGGAGAAAAGTGCCCCATCATTGGTATCAGTGGGAGGAATAGTGCCCCATCATTGGTGTCAGTGGGGAGGAGGAATAGTGCCCCATCGTTGGTGTCAGTGGGGAGGAGGAATAGTGCCCCATGGTTGGTGTCAGTGGGGGAGGAATAGTGCCCCATCATTGGTGTCAGTGGGGATAATAGTGCCCCACCATTGGTATCAGTGGGGAGAAAAGTGCCCCATCATTGGTGTCAGTGGGGGAGGAATAGTGCCCCATCATTGGTGTCAGTGGGGAGGAGGAATAGTGCCCCATGGTTGGTGTCAGTGGGGAGGAGGAATAGTGCCCCATGGTTGGTGTCAGTGGGGGGAGGAATAGTGCCCCATCATTGGTGTCAGTGGGGGAGGAATAGTGCCCCATCATTGGTATCAGTGGGGAGGAAAGTGCCCCATCATTGGTGTCAGTGGGGGAGGAATAGTGCCCCATCATTGGTATCAGTGGGGAGAAAAGTGCCCCATCATTGGTGTCAGTGGGGGAAAAGTGCCCCATCGTTGGTGTCAGTGGGGAGGAGGAATAGTGCCCCATCTTTGGTGTCAGTGGGGAGGAGAAATAGTGCCCCATCATTGGTGTCAGTGGAGGAGGAATAGTGCCCCAGTGGTGTCAGGAGGAGGAATAGTGCCCCATCGTTGGTGTCAGTGGGGAGGAGGAATAGTGCCCCATCGTTGGTGTCAGTGGAGGAGGAATAGTGCCCCATCATTGGTGTCAGTGGGGAGGAGGAATAGTGCCCCATCGTTGGTGTCAGTGGGGAGGAGGAATAGTGCCCCATCGTTGGTGTCAGTGGAGGAGGAATAGTGCCCCATCATTGGTGTCAGTGGGGGAGGAATAGTGCCCCATCATTGGTGTCAGTGGGGAGGAGGAATAGTGCCCCATCGTTGGTGTCAGTGGGGAGGAATAGTGCCCCATCATTGGTATCAGTGGAGGAGGAATAGTGCCCCATCATTGGTGTCAGTGGAGGAGGAATAGTGCCCCCATCGTTGGTGTCAGTGGGAGGAGGAATAGTGCCCCATGGTTGGTGTCAGTGGGGAGGAGGAATAGTGCCCCATGGTTGGTGTCAGTGGGGGAGGGAATAGTGCCCCATCATTGGTGTCAGTGGGGAGGAATAGTGCCCCATCATTGGTATCAGTGGGGGAGAAAAGTGCCCCATCATTGGTGTCAGTGGGGGAGGAATAGTGCCCCATCATTGGTATCAGTTGAAAAGTGCCCCATCATTGGTGTCAGGGGGGAGGAATAGTGCCCCATCGTTGGTGTCAGTGGGGAGGAGGAATAGTGCCCCATCGTTGGTGTCAGTGGGGGAGGAATAGTGCCCCATCGTTGGTGTCAGTGGAGGAGGAATAGTGCCCCATCGTTGGTGTCAGTGGAGGAGGAATAGTGCCCCATCATTGGTGTCAGTGGAGGAGGAATAGTGCCCCATCGTTGGTGTCAGTGGGGAGGAATAGTGCCCCATCGTTGGTGTCAGTGGGGGAGGAATAGTGCCCCATCATTGGTGTCAGTGGGGAGGAACAGTGCCTCATCGTTGGTGTCAGTGGGGGAGAGGAGCGGCTGCTCCTTCTTTCGTTCGGCCGCTTGATTTTCGTGGGGCCGTTCGGCTCCGCCTCCTCACCGGTGATTGGTCGCCTGTGTGCCTTTCCGTGCTGGCGCCCAATCACCGGTGAGGAGGCGGAGCCGAGCGGGCGGCGGGGGACCATCAAGCTGCAGAAATGAAAGAAGGAGCAGCCGCGCTTCCTGGACCAGATCGTCGTGGGACCGGGACCGGAGCCAGGTAAGGTACAGCAGCCCTTCTGCCCACCCCTGTACTTGGTGTCCGTTGGAGGAGGAAGGGGGGTGGCGCCGCCCCTCGAAAAAGTGCCGCCCTGACACCGGCTCGCCGTATACCGGCGTATAAGACGACCTCCGACTTTTCAAAAGATTTTCACGGGTTGAAAAGTCGTCTTATACGCCGGCAAATACGGTAAATACTTCATAAGTCACTTCAAAATTAGTGCACAAAATTTTTTTTTAAAGTCACTTCAAAATTGGCGCAAAAAATATATACTGTATTTTGTATACTTGTGCTCATAATCCACCACCAGAAAAAATAAATAAACTCACCAGAGCTTTTAGCTGATTAATTAAAACCAGCAAAAACGCTGTTGCTCTGGGAGCAGTGAAGTATCCAGGTGGCAAAATCAATACTCTGTATTGAAGAGGGATATCCAAGATTGGGAGCAATACTCTGCAACAGAAGCATCAAACCAGCACCTGGGAACCTTTTATTAAACGTATCCTCCAGTCCTAGTCAAAGAGCCACACTCGGGAATAAAGAAAAAGGATGATGGTGCAGCGAGTTTAAAACATCCTATTTATTCAAAAGTAAGTAAAACACTCACAAATAAGGTGTCACGCCGACACCAGCATGATAAGCAGTCAGCAATACCATCAGATTGCAATCAGCGAGCAAACCCGCTTACCACGGATACCTCCGCTAGACAGCAGGGAGCGTCCTGACGTCACGACATCCAGGCTCCGCCCTACGCGTTTCGTCACAAATGATGTCCTCATGGAGCGGCAACAGAGCTTGGCAACAGAGCGACCGATGTTTCGTTTTCGGACGAAAAATCGGGCCGATAAACAAACAGTCTATGGTCTGCATTATCCTCCATGGGTGTGTCTAGTAACCCGGGGGGTTGTGGAAAAAAGAGTTAAAGGGGCCTGCACCTGTATCTGAGCATTGTGAGTAAATTGGCACTCCACTACATTAGCTTTTAAATTTCCCAACCACAGACTACAGTTTTTTTTTAGATGCCCCAGGTGTTGTAAAATAAAAATGCAGCTCAGGCAGCAATACTCACTGCCTCTCTAGTGCTGTCACCCTCCACTCCGAAGAACAAAGCATATCCTTGGAGAATTAGAAAACTGCATAGCATAATGTAGAGAACAGCAGCAATATGATCATAGCAGTATGGACTAAGGGCATCAGTCTACTATGCAAGACAAGTCTATTAGCAAGACAGACTCATTAATTATGTCCTCACCCTGACAAAAGGGTTTCTAATTTCAACAAATCCTCTCATAGCCAAGGATATGGCTCGAGGAAACGGAGTCTGATCATCATCAATGGAATTCATGTCCATCCCAAAAGCTACCTAGAAAAAAAAAACAATGAGTTATAATGTATCCCAGGCATTGCCCACATTCAACCCCTAACTTTCTTATTGTCCTCCACAGCATGTTCGAGAAACAACTTTTATTATGCCCCTTGAAGCCATCACCAGAGTTGCTATTGGGAGGCCAATTCTATTGGTGTGGGTTTCTCCCCCAGAACTACATCTCCCAAGAGCCCTTTCCCTACACAGGATATGAAGCAGATTCTTATGAGTCAGGGCAACAACTTAGCAACTTTGTTTTGTTGGTAAAGAAATCAACAATGGGGAGAGGGGGAGAGGGGTAGAAAGGGGTGAGGCACAGGTGATGATCTGTAGTTCAGCACACAGGGCTGGTTGGATTTTTAGTGCAGTAAAGACACTGTTAGAAGTTAGAACCACACTTGAGGTTTTTAAGAGATCAACATACATTTGATGTGCTTTGCTTCTGGTGTATCCATGGTGACTGAGATTCCTGTTCCGAGAACATCCCCAGTGCACGCTCCCAGAACAGTGACCGAGCTGTCACAGACAGCTTTCGTTCTCTGTTTGTAATTGAGAGCTAACCGTGTAACCACTGTGACAACCAATCACAGTGATTACACGACTGAGGAGTTTGCCGCTGCAATTAGGACCCAGTTAAAAGGTCACCAGAAGGGGACAGGAAGGAGTTAAGGAGTATAACTAAATTTATTGGGCTATGGAGGACCCCAAAAAAATAAACCCCAGTCTAATTTAACCTGCTGCCAATGCATCAAAAAGCTCATGACTCAGCCGATGTTGAGGAAGAAGCTTGAAGCTTGGAAATGTGTTCCTGTATCCTACTGTGCAGGTGAACAGTGGCTATGTCAGGTGGCCTCCATTTCTGGGGTTGTGCATCGGTGACAGTGTTCATTCAGTGACAGCGGCTTTTTATTCCTTCACAATTGCGCTCTCATACGCTTGCTAGTGGCCAAGTTAAGGGTCCTGGTTCACATTTCTTCACACTAGGCTTTAAGGTGACCCAGACTGTTATGCCTAGAACAGGCCATTTTTTTTTGTGAATGCAGTTATATCCATTCAATTGCTTGCTGCTTAATATACTACACTATGGGGTTTTGCGCTCGTCTTTCCTTTTGTTTTTCAGGTGAAGGAAGGAATGGGCTACCTTCAGGCACACTCGTTTATGCATTACTATACATGCCTGAAAATGGAAGGTCCACACTTCGAAGGCAGAGCAGCATCCACATATATTTAAAAATGTTTGCAATGGCAACAGTGTGAAATTTATTTTTGTCTTGTGCACCATATTTTAAAGCGCTAGCTAGAAACTAACTGGAGCGATGATTGCCATTTTCGTTCTACTTACTGGATTTGGTACATGGACACACTTGAGACCTTCAGCAGCCATTGAACTGTGCTGGGCTGCTTTGTGTGTCCCTGCACACCAGTGTAACGTATGTCCATATGTAATCTATAGAAAATGTTCTATTTTGTCTGTACTCAATACTTCTGTTTATGATAGCGCAGCTAAATACCTGGAGTACGGTCGTGCACATCCATTCGTGTCTATCGGAGGTTATACAGAGCACCTGGGCTTTCCATGCAGTGTGGAAGGATGCTGGAACTTGTGCTGAATGGGTTCAGGTGCCTGCTTGCAAGAGCCCTATGCCCCCTTTCACACTAGGTGGAATCTGATTTGCTCACCAGGGGATCTGTCCGCTGATCCGCTGCTGAGCAGAGCAGGCGGATGACATGTCTCGCTTTGTTCTATGGGCGGGTGGGTGTAAGGTAGGGTAGCCACCTCATCCCTTTAAAACCGAACACATATTAATTACACAGGTTCTGTGGCTGATTAAGGTGGTAATTAAACTCACTGAGTGCCTTATGTGGAATAAATTATCCTCAGAACATGTGTATATAATATGTGTTTGGCTTTAAAGGGATGAGGTGGCAACCCTAGTATAAACAGACGTGTGTAAAAGGACTGCCTTCTGATCCGATCCACAGACAGAGGGGGGGCAGATCCCCTTCTTTTTTCTTTTTTTTTTGTAGCGGACCGGATCAGATTGGAAGTTGACAGATGTTAATGGACACAAATCTGTTTACCCCTGCCAGTCCATAGGAATACATGGACTATCCAATCAGGTCCGAATAAAAAACTGACAGGCGGACTTGATCAGAAAGTGGCTTGAGGGAGTATAGTAGTGTGCAGAGGGTGAATTCAGAATTCTCAGATTTTCTTCATGGTTAAGACATAAATTCCTCCTCTGCTGTTCTAAACTACGACAAAATAAAACTTGCCATTGATCACTTCTTAATCGTGAATCTGGAGTGAAATTTCATCTCTTCTCCAGTGCTAGATCTGTCTCAGACCTTTGCAATTATGTGCATACAATTTGCTAATTAAGAGGAAGCCTGAGTTCCATCTGTGTTTTGTGATCAATGCTTCCATTAGGGCTGCATCCGTTGTGTGATCCGGTTGTTCAGCTCAAATGCCAAATGTCTGGATGTAGCGAGAAATCTAATCAAAGTCCAGGTATGGGGTGGTCAGATTGGAAGAACCTATCTGCTAGTGTAGGGGCAGCTTTGTTAGTAACAGAAAACCTAAATCTGTTGATTCTAAGTACCTTTGAGATGACATCCAGGGTGACTCTGCAGAACATGTTAAGCATTCCAATCTCAGTTTTTCCGTCAGCCTTTTCTGCCAGTCTTTGCATCAAGTCCTCGGCTTTCTCATTGAAAGGTGCCATCAATCCAGTAAGGTATCTGCATACAGGTAACAGAGGCACCGATTATGAAGGTTAACATACAGCGACCAAGACACCAAAATGTGTCTCCTCATACACATCCATTATAACAGTGCAGAGAGATGCTACCCTCTTATAGCTAAATTTTCTACAATAAAAACTTCAAAAATGGTCTCTCTTTAAATACAGATGAAATATTTGTAAGGTCTTGTTCACACAGGCAGCTGGGGTAGGGTTTGTAGCAAACTTGCTCATCAGAGTTGGACGCGGAGTTCCCCTTTTCTCTTTTCTTTTTAGTGGAAGTATTCCTCGATCATGCACTCCCTACCCCCTCCCTTCCTGAGAGGCAAACGTTATCTCCTGAGTGAAAGATGGTGGGGGGGTCAACACAGGTGAAGGCATGCCTGGTTTGGTGCCAGCAGTCTGTGGAAGCGGAACCTTTCTCACCCATCATAAAACAGATAAGACCTTCTCCCCGGACTTGAAAGATGTTGAAACCTCATAAAACTGACCAGCAGTTAACTGAACATTCCTCAGGTCAGCTGTCACCTATGTTTCATATCATGGAGTATGAAGCTGTTAGTTTTAATTGAGAGTCCACTGACCTCCGGCCCAAAATATTGTATTGGGCAGAGTCAGAGCCACCCCCCCCCCCCCCTCACCTGCAGAGGGATTTTTAAAAAGGACAGGCTGCAAGCCTGAAAGCTAAGCTTAACACACATCTCCTGAATTTAACATCGTAACAGAGGAGATCAAAGACCCTTCCTGCTCTGCACTTGATCTGCTTACAAACCAAGGCATATTGGTAAGTAACTTAACTCTTTAATTTCCTTCCTATTATCTCTTTGCTGCACCTTTATATGCATATATATATAGTTACATTTTCTTTGTAAATATTTTATTGCACCTGTTTGACTCTTTTAGTAATAAATCTTTCTTTCTGAAAGTGTTAAACTGTTTCTAAGCGCTTAATTGCAATTCACGAATTCCTGCCTTTGAAGAGACGCTACTGTGTTTGTTTAATCCTCTGCCCAATCGGCCTGCGGTGACCGTATTGGACGGGTGACTTTTCAGTCATTATAGTGTATATTTGATAATGGGAGTTTCCCAGTCTCCAACAAAAGTGGTGGTGGCAGTAGAGGGTTAGTTGCGTAATTAACCCGACGCAGTAACAAGTGCATTCAGGCTGCAGGCACTGATTGTAGCCCATTAGCTGGACAATCGCTGTGCAGGGTGCAGCTGGGTGGGGCCTTGTTATGCGCGTCACACCGCGGTTTTAGATCGGCCGGTCCTTCGGTCACGAGTTGGTGAGAAGGTCTGGGGTCTGACGCCGTGGGCGTGACGTATTACTGTTAGTCGCTGTTGTGCAATTGTCGCATGTTGATGGCGCCGACCGTGCAATCCGTGACAGGGTTGCCATCTCATACCTTTAAAACCGAACACATATTAATTACACAGATTTTGAGGCTAATTCAATGCACATAAGGCACAAAGGGAGTTTAATAAGCGCCTTAATCAGCCACAGAACCTGTGTAATTAATGTGTTCGGTCTTACCCTAGGTTCTGTGCGGATGGTGCCACTGCGGATCCGCACGACCACCTGCACAGAGAAATGCGGACCCGTGGGCGGGTGCCATTACTTCTAATGGCATGCCGCCTGCACTGGAAAACACAACCATACTGGGAACCGAGGTTCCCGTGTGGGCTGCGTTTTCCAAAGAAATGCAGGGACTTCTTTCCCTGCGTGTCACGAGCATGGGAGTCCATTCAAATGAATGGGCTCTCGTGCCCGTGCAAAACGCGGCCCGCGCGGCCGCGGGGATGTAAAAGCAGGTGGTTGAGCCGTAGTTTTACTGACCCCATCACTCACCTAAAGAAGGGCATGCAGCTGCTCAGGGCTTTACAGAAGTCATGACCGTGATGCTCTGCTTCACTAACAAGGCAAAAATTAAACCACACGTCACGTTCAGCACAGAACACGACCCATTTAAGTGTATGGGGCTGGGCTGCAACCACTCTGCAAATGCATGCATTGCGGTGGTTCAGCCTTTTTATGGTTTAAACCAGGTGATGAGAAGGTGACTTATCGCCAAAAGCCCTTTGAAGGGTTGCTACGCGTGAGAACAAGCCCTAAGAAATCTCTTTTACCTACCTAAAAGTTCCTGAATTTGACTTGGTATCAGTCTTTCAGTCCCCTGCACAGTAGAGCTCAGATTGTGGAAGGAATAAGCAGCACCTGCAGCCAATCAGTTGTGTTGCACTGCCAAGGAGCAGGGACAAGACCTGGTCTCCTCCCCTGTTAGGACTGTGTCGTGTAGAGCTGTGCAAATCCCAGAACTGGGTGGACATACATTCAAATCCTTTGGCAGGTAAAACAGCTCATACACTTACAGAGTATCTACAGTCATTACAAAAATATTGCACCCCCCCCCCCCCCCCCCTCACTTCTGTCAGATAATGCACCACTTTGCCCAGAAAATTGTTGCAATTACAAATGTTTCGGCATTCTTGTGTTTGTTTCTTTTGTTTGTATTGGTATGACACAAAAAAAGCGGAGAAACAAAAAGCCAAATCTGACACATTCCACGCAAAACTCCACAAATGGACGGGAAAAAATTATTGGCACCTTTTCAAAATTGTAAGATATAATTGCATTCCAAGTTTGTGATGTTCCTGTAATATGTAATTAAACTCACCTGTATCAATTAACAGGTGCTGACAATATAGAAATCACATCGGCAACCAGTTAAAATGGTGAAAAAAAAAAATCAATTCAATCTTTATTCTGTTGTGTGCCACATGGAGCATGGAGAAGAGAAAGAGCCGCAAATAATTGTTTTAGGATTTGAGAATACAAATTGTGGTAAAGTATTAGTAAGACCTCATCTGGAATATGCAGTTCAGTTTTGGGCACAGATTCACAAATAGAACATTGGGGAACTGGAGAAAGTACAGAGAAGGGCAACCAAACTGATAAGAGGCATGGATGAGATCAGCTATGAGGAAAGATTAGAGGAACTGAATTTATTCTCTCTTGAGGAGATTAAAGGGGGATATGATCACCATGTATAATACATAAGGGGGATATGATCTCCATGTATAATACATAAGGGGGGATATGATCTCCATGGGGGATATGATCTCCATGTATAATACATAAGGGGGGATATGATCTCCATGTATAATACATAAGGGGGGATATGATCTCCATGTATAATACATAAGGGGGGATATGATCTCCATGTATAATACATAAGGGGGGATATGATCACCATGTATAATACATAAGGGGGGGATATGATGATCTCCATGTAATAATATATATCTCCATGTATAATACATAAGGGGGGGGGGATATAATACATAAGGGGGGATATGATCTCCATGTATAATACATAAGGGGGGATATGATCTCCATGTATAATACATAAGGGGGGATATGATCTCCATGTATGTAATACATAAGGGGGGATATGATCTCATAAGGGGGGGATATAGATACATCGATGTATAATACATAAGGGGGATATGATCACCATGTATAATACATAAGGGGGGGATATGATCTCCATGTATAATACATAAGGGGGGGATATGATCTCCATGTATAATACATAAGGGGGGATATGATCTCCGATCTGTATAATATATAAGGGGGGGATATGATCACCATGTATAATACATAAGGGGGGATATGATCACCATGTATAATACATAAGGGGGGATATGATCTCCATGTATAATACATAAGGAGGGATATGATCTCCATGTATAATACATAAGGGGGGATATGATCTCCATGTATAATACATAAGGGGGGATATGATCTCCATGTATAATACATAAGGGGGGATATGATCTCCATGTATAAATACATAAGGGGGGATATGATCTCCATGTATAAATACATAAGGGGGGGATATGATCTCCATGTATAATACATAAGGGGGAGATATGATCTCCATGTATAAATACATAAGGGGGGATATGATCTCCATGTATAAATACATAAGGGGGGATATGATCTCCATGTATAATACATAAAGGGGATATGATCACCATGTATAATACATAAGGGGGGATATGATCTCCATGTATATCACATAGGGGGGGGATATGATCTCCATGTATAATACATAAGGGGGGATATGATCTCCATGTATAATACATAAGGGGGGGGTATGATCTTCATGTATAATACATAAGGAGGGTTATGATCTCCATGTATAATACATAAGGGGGATATGATCTCCATGTATAATACATAAGGGGGGGATATGATCTTCATGTATAATACATAAGGAGGGATATGATCTCCATGTATAATACATAAGGGGGGATATGATCTCCATGTAGAATACATAAGGGGGGATATGATCTCCATGTATAATACATAAGGGGGGATATGATCTCCATGTAGATTACATAAGGGGGGATATGATCTCCATGTATAATACATAAGGGGGGATATGATCTCCATGTATAATACATAAGGGGGGGGGATATAAGGGGGGATATGATCTCCATGTAGATTACATAAGGGGGGAGCTCCATGTATAATACATAAGGGGGGATATGATCTCCATGTATAATACATAAGGGGGATATGATCTCCATGTATAATACATAAGGGGGGGATATGATCTCCATGTATAATACATAAGGGGGGATATGATGTCCATGTATAATACATAAGGGGGGGATATGATCTCCATGTATAATACATAAGGGGGGGATATGATCTCCATGTATAATACATAAGGGGGGATATGATCTCCATGTATAATACATAAGGGGGGATATGATCTCCATGTATAATACATAAGGGGGGATATGATCTCCATGTATAATACATAAGGGGGGATATGATCTCCATGTAGAATACATAAGGGGGATATGATCTCCATGTATAATACATAAGGGGGGATATGATCTCCATGTATAATACATAAGGGGGGATATGATCTCCATGTATAATACATAAGGGGGGATATGATCTCCATGTATAAATACATCAGTGGTTCATATAGTGAACTCGGTGCAGAGTTATTCCCCCTGAGGTCATCACAGAGGACAAGGGGACGCTCTTTACGTCTGGAGAAAAAGAAATTTAATCTCCAAACACGGAAAGGTTTCTTCACAGTGAGAGCTGTGAAAATGTGGAATAGACTCCCTCAAGAGTTGGTTCTGGCCAGCTCAGTGGATTGCTTCAAAAAAGGCCTGGATTCTTTCTTAGATACACAGAATATAACTGGATATAACATTTATAGGTAAAGTTGATCCAGGGAATACTTTTTGTGTTTTGTACAAAAAAGAATAAAAAGACCTAGAAGGAACTTTGTTTTACATAATGCTTACATGGCAGCACATTATAATCCATATACAGGATTCACAGATAAAGGCATATGAGATGAAGGTATAGCAGGATACATTCAAAGAGCTTTGATGGTAAAGAAGCAGAAAAACCCTGACATACCCAACCTGGATAGTCTAGGCAGTCATGGAGCTGGTATATTCCCATAAATAGTACAAATTCAGCAAGAGCAAACAAAGAAAGGGGGAAAGAGGGAGAGACTACTATCCCTCCATAACAGATCAATCAAACATGTACTGAGCATGCTCAGGTTAACAGCCATAAGGAACATGGCAAAAGTGAGCTATGTTGAATCCAAAAGATATAGTATGAACACAAGAAAAGGATTAGGAAGAGAAAAGGAAAGGGCACAGAAAACCTGACCAAAATCCTGCACTCCCTACACAGATAAGATGAACTTTGTAAGTGGTGTAGCTGGGGATCCCAAACCCTTCTAAATTTGGCTTGTTATTGCGAAAGATACTAACCAATTTTCCATTTAACATGATCCAGGTAAGTTTGCGCTTCATTACAGATATGTCAATCGCAGGAGTCTTCAAGCAGTGGCAATAGATATCTTAGCCGCCAAAAACATTTAGAAGATAAGAGTTTTGGGAATCTCATCAACATGTTAATTTACACAGGCCACTTGAGCTTGTTTAGGAATATTGATCATTGTTACTGGATATATTAAATTGTGCTCTCTCGCCCAAAAGCTTCTAACCTTGGGGCAAGTCTACCAGGTTAGAAACGTCGTTCCCTCTTGGCCGTAGCCTCAGAAGCAAAACAATACATAATTTTAGAAGCCTGGCTGGGACTAGGTAGCAATGTGACAGGACATTGTAATTATTCACACTATATTTTAATAGTTTCCAGCCTAGTCCTTAATCTGAATGATCTTGAAGATTGTAAACTTACAAACCCACTTTCAAAAAAGCTGGGACACTGTATAAAATCTACATAAAAACAGAATGCAGTGATTTGCAAATCTCAACCCAAACCCAATGCCCCTGCCAGTGCTGGAAGATGGAAATCAATTGCTTATGGGTCTTGCGCTGGCTTGCTGCATTGTGAACACAACAGGTCGGTAGCTCAGCACAGGAGCCATTCACAATGCTTTTTTTCTGAATTATTATTATTATTATTACATTGAGTTTATATAGCGCCAAAGGGTTTGCTCAGCGCTGTACAATATAGGGGGGACAATACATGGCACAGTACAACAATAACAAACAACGTACGAGGGGTTAGAGGGCCCTACTCTTTCGAGCTTACAATCTAGGAGGGAGGGGGTAGTGGTACAGTAGGAAGTGGCTGAGGGGAGTGAAGTGGTGGGAGGAATGAGGGAGAATGGCCGTTAGGTGAGGGTGGGGTAGGCTTCCCTGAAGAGATGGGTTTTGAGGGAGCGCCTGAATGTGAGGAGGGAAGGCGACAGTCTGATGGATTGGGGCAGTGAGTTCCAGAGGATGGGGGAGGACCTGGAGAAGTCTTGCAGTAGTGCGTGGGAGGAGGAGACCAGGGAGCAGGATAGAAGGAGGTCCTGTGAGGAGCGAAGGGTACGGATAGGGCGGTACTTGGGGATCAGGTTGGTGAGGTAGTCAGGGACAGTGTTGTGAACGGCTTTGTAGGTCAGGGTTAGAAGTTTAAATTTGATGCGTTGGGCAATTGGGAGCCAGTGGAGGGAGAAGCAGAGGGGGGTGGCAGAGGTGGAGCGGTTGGTGAGGTGGATGAGTCTAGCTGCCGAGTTCAGGATGGTCTGAAGCGGGGAGAGCCTGCACTGGGGTAGGCCGGTGAGGAGGGAGTTGCAGTAGTCGAGGCGTGAGATAATCAGGGAGTGTACGAGTAGTTTAGTGGTGTCTGGGGTAAGGAAGGAGCGTATCTTGGCGATGTTGCGGAGGTGGAGCCTGCATGTGTTTGTAAGTGATTTGACATGAGGTTGGAAGGAAAGGTTTGAGTCCAGAATGACGCCAAGGACTTTGGCTTGCGGGGCGGGAATGATAGTGGTGTTGTTGGTGATGATGGATAGGATGGGGGGGGTGTGGGCAGGGGGAAAGACGAGGAGCTCGGTTTTGGAGAGGTTAAGCTTGAGGAAATGTAGCGACATCCAGTCTGAATGAATGCAAAGCAATCTCTGATTGGATGAGGAGGAGAGCATGGCATCTCCTCTCTCTCCCCTCGTTCAGTCAGAGAACGCTTTGCATTCATTCAGTACAACAGGGCAGCTGCTCAGCACAGGACTGTGAAGTTAGTGGAGACCACTGGAGTAGCAGTGTCTACCTCAGTAATTTCCAGCTTCCAGGGGCATCAGCCAGGCATGGTATATACATAGTTACATTGGTCCAAGCTGGAACAATGCAACTATGTATAAAATATCCAGATCTGGAATTCTTCTTTAACATTTTACATTGCATGTAGTTTGCATGGCGTTTGCATTAAAAGCAGTGTCTAATTTGAGTTTCAACGTCTGGTTAATATTTGTTCTTACGTTCTACTAAACGCTGGATCCATAATTCTCCTCTGTTTGTGCCAGTGATCATAATCCCGATCTGTCACCAAGCCTTTTCCCAAGAAGCTGGTATATGATGGGTAACAAAACAAAACATTTGTTAAAGTGTTAATGTAACTTTTGCATAACTAAAGGTATCAGTGTTATTTTAGTTGGGGCAGCTACATGGATCTGCATAGTTTTCTCAGTCTAGGTTTCCTTTAGAGCAGGGGTATCCAACCTGCGGGTCAAGAGAGTTCAGAATGCCAGGCACATCTGGAGGGATTCTGTGCAAGCAGAGAAGCCACAGCGGCCAGCAGGGATCACCTTGTTACAGGCATGTATAGAGGGACACCAGGGATGATGTGGAAGCATAGCAGTCATGGCGGCCAGCACCGAGAATCCAGGCACAGACACAGCTGTAGGGATGCCAGGGCTAACTTTTTTGTAAGACCATTCGCAGCAGTGAATACAGGCACTCCACATAGTGCCAGGCAAATAAATGCCTTATGGCTGTATCTAGGGGGGTTCAAGGGCTACACCCCCGCCCCCCAAGATTTCAGTCGTGACTCCCCATCCACAACCTCCTTTCTAGCCCCTAACATAGTGCTGAGTGGGGAGGTAGAGGGGATGTAGTGAACGGGGGTCTTTGGGGGGGAGCAACTAAAATCTGGGGTGTGGGGGGGGTGGGCAGTGCATGTTGCCCTCTAACCTTTTCAAAAAAATATTACAATAAAAATAATATAGATAGATATTATCTATATCCATGATCGTTAACTTGTGATCTTCCTGAATTTTCTTCTCACCAGCTATCCTTATTGTTAGTTTATTTTATGTATGACAATTCCTCTTCTTCCACTGTGGCCCAGGAAGGTCAAAAGGTTGGACACCCCTGATTTAGAGTATAACTAAAAGGCAAAACCTTTTTTTTTCCCTTTTGGATAGAGTGTAAAGGGATAAGATCCTCTGTCATCTTTGTATTGCTGTCTGTGAAAGTCAAATACCAAATTTTTGGTTGTCAACAGAACAGGACCAGAAGGGAAATCTTCCTAGTGGGGTCACCAGTTCTGGTGACAACCAGGGATTTACTCACTTTGGAGGAATTTCTTCTAACTTCCAGCTTTGGCTATGGGACAAGAAGTGAAGAGAAATCTACCCAATGGGGACACAGATGGAAAACAAAATGACCGGGGTTATAACCCTCCCTTCCACTATCCAAAATGAAGAAAGTTTTGCTTTTAGTTCTACATTAAGCACAGATGTTTTTATGGACATAGCAGGTGTTTGACCTTTTGTATTGGATAACCCCAATATGATTTCTATGTAATATGTATATGGAATATTCTGAAAGATGTTGTACATACCGAACACCAAACAGGTTAGACATACGGCTGTAAAACCAGTCCTTTGTGTATTTTGGAGACATCAGGAATTCCTACAATAAGGTATAAAAATAGATCTTAGAGCATTGCTCCACCCTTCAATCAAATATAATGACCACTTCGTAACAGTGATTTTTATTATTTTCCTGCACATGGTTGCACCAGTGTCACTTGTCAAAAATACCTGCTTTACCTTGGTAATCCCATTCTATGTAGCCTTCAAAATTTCTTTACAGGGGTCTCAATTGCCCAGACACATGTGCATTCTAACTGATATTTTGTGCACTATTTAAGCCCTTGTTGCCTAAATCCATGGCAGGTACAGTGCTGCAATATGATGCTACCAGAGCTTTATAGTGTATCTAAGCTCGAGAACAAAAAATCAATATGTAGCCTCACTGGTTCTTAGATGTGTTGACTGCATTGTTTTATTTTTGGTGGCTTTATCTTTTTTTTCACACTTTCTGTCCCTGGGTGACAATGCATACGCACTGTACCATATCAATGGAAGAGCAGTGTGGTCAGCCTAAGGTAGGAAGTGTTAGGACTACCTCCTCTTCGTTTTAGCGGCATAACATACAGGGTTGACGTGTCCTGTAGTTAACTGCAATGACTGGGAACAATGCTAACTTCCTTCTCCTGAGATCAGCCAGGTGTAGAGCTTTGGAGTCTGCTCACTCCACTTGCAGTCAATAATCCAAGAAAATAGACCGCATGCCAAAAACGTCTCGCTCCAGTAAAGGTTTATTGCAATGACAGCACACTGCTCAGTACTACCGAGGGCCAGTTCCAAAATGCGCTTCACCCACAGTAGGGCTTAGTTCTGCATGACTGAGCCTTGCTGTGGGTAATACGCATTGGGGATATCACTTAGGCTGGGAGTGAGGGGTGTACTATCATTGCAGTAAACTTTGACTGGAGCAAGATGTTTATGGCGTGTGGCCTGTTTTCTTGGATTATTGACTGCAGTAGGAATGAGCTTGAATTTTACTTCGGATTTGGTCGGAACCCAGAAGGCAGCTGTCAGTGCCAATGGGCTGCAAGCGAGGGATTCCCCATCATGCAGCAGTGTGTACACAAAGGGTTGAGGATACTCATGACATCATTGTCCTAATATGGCCACATGTCATATTAGGTCAAAAATTACACAAGCATCCGCACCCTCTCATGTAAAGATGCATGATGGGAATTCGCCCACCTGCAGCTCATAGGCCTGGCATTGACAGCCGCCTTCTGGGTTTGGATGAACGTGGGTGTGGACCAAACACAAGCTCTCACTACTGACAACTCTCTATGCTCTCTGCTCTAATGCACTGTTATTAGCTCACAGGATTTCAAGCACGACAAATAAATATATATATAGAGTTGTGTTTAAAATAATAGCAGTCAGACAACACTAACCGGATCAATCACTGTTTTTGGTAGAAATGATATTTCTACATGGCAAATAATTTACTAGCAAGTGTAGTAGAGTAATAGAAATCCAACAGACCCAACAGTCATGACATGCATGCTGCTGATTCTGTGTCATTGAATCACTCATTGAAAGGGGCGTGTTCAAAATAATAGCAGTGTGGAGTTCTATTAGTGAGGTCATTCATTCTTTGAAAACCAGGTGGCAATTATTGCCCTTATTTAAGGAAAGAAGGCAGAAAATGTTGTACATGCTGGTTACAGTGCATTTCTCTCTGAAATTCTGAGGAAAATGGGTCATTCCAGACATTGTTCAGAAGAACAGCGTACCTTGATTAAAAAGTTGATTGGGGAGGGGAAAAACATATAATGAAGTGCAGAAAATGATAGGCCGCTCAGCTAAAATGATCGCAAATGCTTTAAAATGGCAACCAAAACCTGAAAGACGTGGAAGAAAGTGAAAAACTACCATTCGAATGGATAGAAGAATAGCCAAAATGGCGCGGACTCAGCCAACAATCAGCTCCAGGAAGATGAAAGAAGGTGTGACGTTCCCTGTGAGGACTGTTACAATTAGAAGACGCCTATGTGAAGCCAAGCTATCTGCAAGAAGCCCCCGCAAAGTCCCACTGTTGAAAAAAAGACGTACTGAAGAGGTTCCAATTTGCCAAAGAGCACATTGACTGGCCTAAAGAGAAATGGCGCAACATTTTGTGGACTGATGAAAGTAAGATTGTTCTTTTTGGGTCTAGTGGCCGGAGACAGTTTGTCAGACGACCCCCAAACACTGAATTCAAGCCACAGTACACTGTGAAGACAGTGAAGCATGGTGGTGCAAGCATCATGATATGGGGATGTTTCTCATACTACGGTGTTGGGCCTATTTATCGCATACCAGGGATCATGGATCAGTTTGAATACATCAGAATACTTGAAGAGGTCATGCTGCCTTATGCTGAAGAGGAAATGCCCTTGAAATGGGTGTTCCAACAAGACAACGACCCCAAACACACCAGTAAACGTACAACATCTTGGCTCCAGACCAACAAGATTGACGTTATGGAGTGGCCAGCCCAATCCCCGGATCTTAATCCAATAGAAAACTTGTGGGGTGACATCCAAAATGCAGTTTCTAAGGCAAAACCAAGAAACAGAGAAGAACTGTGGAATGTAGTCCAATCATCCTGGGCTGGAATACCTGATCACAGGGACCAGAAGTTGGGTGACTCCATGCAACACAGATGTACAGCAGTTCTCAGAAACAGTGCGACTACAACCAAATATTCATGAAGTCATTCAAAGGAAAGCAAAATCTTCAAACATTTCTCAGTTTATATAGTGAATGTTTGAGTTTGTAAAGAAGAATACAAACACTGCGATTTTTTTGAACCGTCTAATATTCACTTTTCTTCAATTATTTTAGAGGAACAACACACATTTGATCTATTTTTCTTCATGTTTTGGTTTGGAATAGAATGTGTCGTGTTCCCAATGCATTTGTGTGGATGGAAATAAAAGCCATTAGAAGGATTTTGAGCTTTATTCACTTTTTTTCAACACACTGCTATTATTTTGAACACAACTGTATATATATATATACACACACACTCACCGGCCACTTTATTAGGTACACCTTGCTAGTGCTAATAACATATCCCCCACACCACTCCTAGATTGTAAGCTCCAAGGATCAGGGCCCTCCTATCCCTCTTGTATTGAATTGTACTGTATTGTCTCCCATTATATTGTAAAGCGCTGAGCAAACTTTTGGTGCTATATAAATCCTGTATAATAATATTAATTACACCACCACCAGCAGCCTGGACCGTTGATACAAGGCAGGATGGATCCATGCTTTCATGTTGTTCACTCCAAACTACCATCTGAATGTTGCAGCAACCAGTCTGCCCATTCTCATCTGACCTCTGACATCAACAAGGCATTTTTGTCCACACAACTGCTGCTCACTGGATATTTTCTCTTTTCTGGACCATTCTCTGTAAACCCTAGAGATGGTTGTGCATGAAAATCCCAGTAGATTAGTAGTTTTTGAAATACTCAGACCAGATCAGACTCAGATAAGACTCAGTCTAGCACCAACAACCATGCCACATTCAAAGTCATTTAAATCTCCTTTCTTCACAAGGGTTGTACAACATCAGCCACTCTGAATCATGGGAGTTTGAAATTCAGTAAGTCGTGTTCACCACGTCTACATGCCTAGATGCATTGAGTTGCTGCCATGTGATTGGCTGATTAGCAAATTGTGTTTCCAAGCAATTGAACAGGTGTACCTAATAAAGTATCCAGTGAGTATATATATATATATATATATATATATATATATACAGTGGGGATCGAAAGTTTGGGCACCCCAGCTAAAAATTTGTATTAATGTGCATAAAGAAGCCAAGGAAAGATGGAAAAATCTCCAAAAGGCATCAAATTACAGATTAGACATTCTTATAATATGTCAACAAAAGTTAGATGTTATTTCCATCATTTACACTTTCAAAATAACAGAAAACAAAAAATGGCGTCTGCAAAAGTTTGGGCACCCTGCAGAGTTAATATCTTGTACTGCCCCCTTTGGCAAGTATCACAGCTTGTAAACGCTTTTTGTAGCCAGCCAAGAGTCTTTCAATTCTTGTTTGAGGTATCTTTGCCCATTCTTCCTTACAAAAGTCTTCCAGTTCTTTGAGATTTCTGGGCTGTCTGTCACGCACTGCTCTTTTAAGGTCTATCCACAGATTTTCAATTATGTTGAGGTCAGGAGATTGTGAAGGCCATGGCAAAACCTTCAGTTTACGCCTCTTGATGTAATCCCCCGTGGATTTCGAGGTGTGTTTAGGATCATTATCCATTTGTAGAAGCTATCCTCTCTTTAACTTCAGCTTTTTTACAGATGGCATCAAGTTACCATCCAAAATTTGCTGAAATTTTATTGAATCCATTTTTCCTTCTACTCGTGAGATGTTCCCTGTGCCACTGGCTGCAACACAACCCCAAAGCATGATTGATCCAACCCCATGCTTAACAGTTGGACAGAGGTTCTTTTCATTAAATTCTGTGCCCCTTCTTCTCCAAACGTACCTTTGCTCATTCCGGCCAAAAAGTTCAATTTTAACCTCATCGGTCCACAGAACTTGTTTCCAAAATGCATCAGGCTTTTCTATATGTTCATTTGCAAAGTTCAAACGATGATTTATGTGGTGAGGATGTAGAAGAGGTTTTCTTCGGATGAATCTTCCATGAAGACCATATTTGTACAAGTATCTCTTTATAGTGGAATAGTGTACCACAACTCCAGTGTCTGCCAGATCTTTCTGGAGGGATCGTGCAGTCAAACGTGGGTTTTGAATTGTTTTTCTCACAATCCTGTGAGCTGTTCTGTCTGATATTTTTCTTGGTCTTCCAGATCTTGCTTTGACTTCCACTGTTCCTGATGACTGCCATTTCTTAATTACATTCCGAACAGAGGATACTGACATCTGAAAACGCTTTGCTATCTTCTTATAGCCTTCTCCAGCTTTGTGAGCGTCAACTATTTTCAGTTTCAGTTTTCTAGACAACTGCTTAGAAGAACCCATGGTGCTGATTGTTGGGGCAAGGTCAGATGAGTCTGGGCATTTAAAACCTTTGAGATTGACATCACCTGGTCTTCCCAGACGATGATTGAGAACAATCCATGACACTGGCAGGTCTCAGCTTTGCAAAGGGGGCAGTACAAGATATTAACTCTGCAGGGTGCCCAAACTTTTGCAGACGCCATTTTTTTGTTTTCTGTTATTTTGAAAGTGTAAATGATGGAAATAAAATCTAACTTTTGTTGACATATTATAAGAATGTCTAATCTGTAATTTGATGCCTTTTGGACATTTTTCCATCTCTCCTTGGCTTCTTTATGCACATTAATACAAATTTTTAGCTGGGGTGCCCAAACTTTCGATCCCCACTGTATATATATATGTGTGTATATATATATATATAATGTATTTATTTGTGCAAAAATTGTGTATTTAGTGGTTTGCCTGAAGTTCTGCTTTATCCTACCTTTATATATTGAAGGAAAATTTGTACTCACATCCACACATTTAGGGGTCTTATTTGAATAAATGTGTGAACCTTGGGGGAACGCTGTGTGAATCTTGGGTACGGTAAATAAAATGCTTAAACAGGTTACTTATGTTATATTGTACTACATCTTATGATGACACATCTTATGTTTGCTCTAATGTTTCAACTGGTTCACTGAAGGTCCAGGGAGGAAGCAGAGATGGAGATATTCTTACCTTTACTGCTTCTGGGCTGACAACTAAGACTATCACATTGTGTAAAAAATTAATCCGTACGACTGGGCCGTATCTCTGGCTCCTGGAAAAAAAAAAGAAAAGCAAAGGCACAGGTAAATTTATTGATCATGAAGTATTTGGAACAAGAGCTGTGTACTGCATGTAGTGGGAATTTGGTGTGACACTCCTTTTTCTTACGCACCCCTCTTGTTCTTTCAGAAATATATGGCTATCAGTTTGTCATGACACGACACGGCAAATGTTTTCAAACTACACAAGCACCCTTTGTCAAGATAACAGTGTCTTGGAAATTCGCTTTGAACAAATTTCTCCTTACCGTGAGTACTCGCAGTTGGATGCGCAGCAATCCCCCATACAGCTGTGCGAATCTCGCTTACCACGACTGCAGCTTAGCTCCACGATTCCTGCGCCTCCAACTGGTTTAGCTATCTCAGAATTATGGGGAAATGGAGCTCTAGTTACCTAAGAATGATCAGGCGACACTCTCAGGTTGCTGTTGGAATTCACAAAGAGACTGGTTTCAGACTCAGTCCCTGGTTTTATTACACACACACACACGCCCCCCACATGAGTCAGGTCAATCCCCTTCCACAGAACAATGCAATGGGGAGTGCCTAACACAGGATGTACATTCAGATTGGAGCGTAGCCTTTCCTATTATCTATCACCAGTCCTCCCCTCCCCTCCCCTCCCCTCCATGAGCTCTCTGAGGGAAGCAAACTTCCTATCCTATTAGCTCCAAGTGGTATGTAAATTCTCTGTACAAGCATCCCTTAGATTAAACAGTGCCAGTCTGTATCTGAATGGGCCTGATACGATCTTTATTAAAACACATCCATCCAGATACAGTTCAGGTCGGTAATGGCTTGTAAGATATACATGAGCCTACATGCGGAGTTCACACTGCTTGGCGCCTTGCGTTGCGAAGTCCATGTGGTACTATGCTGCTGATATGTGGATACAGGCCCGCGGCCTACCGCCGGCGGCATTCGCATTGAATGCCGTGGTGGCATACACGCCGGTCTATAAGCGCAGATCTGCCATCTCATCCGTTACCGAGCTGAGTACTGTAATACATACATTGTACATGCGCATGGCCCAATTGCAGCCTTCAGAGCTTTAATTAAGCCACACGAGAGACATATGAATAACATTAATATATGACACATTTAAATTTCAACCTGTAAATACAAAATTTCCATGACAACAGTCACAGTTGAAGTGCTTGTGCTATCCATATTTTTCAGACCATGAGTAATGGCGACATCCATTCATTTGCCCGTTTCAGTGCCAGCTGTCCCTAAGGCCTTGTTCACACCATGGTGCAGAGATGTGAGTTTTTCTGCACACATTCTGCAAGGGCACCAGAAACACTATTGTTTTCTATGTGCCCTGTTCACATCATAGCACTAGTATCATGTGAAGATTGGTTTCTGTGCAGGAATCTGAAACGTGCATAAAACTGATTTAAACTGATGTCTCTGCATGTGAAATCTGCATGTTTTTTCCATTTGCACTTCTACTGCACGTATGGTATGAATGAGGCCTAAAGCGCCATAGAATTAGAATTTTTAAATTTTCTTTTTGTTAATGTTCATTCAGTTTTCTAACAGTTGGCAAATCAAATCAGAAAGTGTTTTCTACCATAGTGATGGGAAAATTGGAAGGAGCAGGATGAAACATTTTTCTTGAGTAAACAAAATTCTAACTGTGAATGTGAAAAACTTGACTATTGCACCAGAGATAGGCTCGTCCACTTCCCCATTATCACCATTACCGTTCCGTGCTAATCCCCTTCCTCTTAACCAATTATTAACAAAAGACATAACACCAATTTTGGAGTAAATGGCCAGCATGGCCTTTTAATAACAACTCAAGTTACAATACACCAACCATTCCTTATAACAGAAACCTCCAGAATTGTTGTTGGTCTTCGAAGGCACCCGAAAATGATCCGAAATGCACCTGCGGACAACCATATACACTAGGCCTCCAGCCGCAACCAACCAGCTCGGAGACAACCATACCGTCCGCAGTGCAGCACCACCACCTTCCAGTTAAACCTCGGTTAACTGGGAATGTCCCCGGGCATCCCATACCACGGATGGGTCCCACACCATTGTTGTACACCGTCCAAATAAGAACCGCCTCCAAAGACCAACAACCGTCCATGAACCAACATAATCCCCCCCTTCACCTGGAGGGACCCAAAAAACTCACCCAAACAGGGAGGGCGGGAGGGAAGCTCACACTCTTGCCGTCCAGCTAACTGACGCCCCCTCACAGAACCTCCCACCCTAAGGTGCAGCAAAACCCCACCTACACCAACCTCTACCAATCAGCTACCCCCCACAGCTAACAATAACAAATCCCCCTGGAGCTACCTTAACCCTTTCTGCTCTTCCTTCCCCCACTCTGGGCCTAGTCATGTATGCCCTGCGCTATTTCTTCTTTATTTCGCTACGGGCATTTCTTTACAAATTGTAATAGGTGTGATACACAGAAAAGAAACCTGTTCCCGCCCCCATGAAGTCATACGACATCCTCGGGTTGAAGTGGTTATAGCAGGATGAAGTCTGCACCAGCAGCATCATCCCAGTTTCAAAGTGTTCTGCTGACAATTCACTGTTCAGCAGAAGCGATGCAAGTGGCTGAACAGCAGAAGTGATTCAGAGTGGCTGATGCTGTACAACCCTTGTGAAATCAATAACGCTGATAAAAAATAAAAAACAATTAAACAGACAGTGTAAAAAAATAAAAAATAATAATAAAAACATTTAAAGCCCCCCCCCCCGTCCTAATGTGCAAATGCGAACACATACAAGTCCAGTACACATATTTAAACAGCGATTACACCATACTTATGAGGTATCATTGTGAACGTCAGAGCAAGAGCAATGGATTTAGCTCCAGACCTCCCGTGTAACTGGTAACCTGTGAAGGCCTTTAAAGCGTTGCCTATGAAAATATTTAGGTACCGTAGCTTGGTGCCGTTCTATGAGCGTACGCAATTTTAGTGCGTGACATGTTACTTGGGATAACATCATTTTTTTTATTCACAACAATTAGGTATTGTATAGTGTTTGTGCAAATGAAATTCATTAAAGTGTATTTTTGCCCAAAAAATTGTGTTTGAAAAACCGCTGCGTGACACAAAAAATAGCAACACCCACCATTTTATATTCTCTAGGGCTTCTGATAATGAAATATATAATGTTTGGGGGTTCTGAGTAATTTTCTAGCAAAAAATACAGATTTTTACATGTAGGAGAGAAATTTCAGAATTGGCCCAGTAGGGAACTGGTCAATATGTCTGGGATTCCAGTCAAGTAGCAGATCTGGACAAACTTAATCATCTGCATTGTGTAAAAACGCTGTTGATCCTGTCTTCTCTGATCCTCCCCTTCTTCCAGTGTCCCCCTTTTATTTCCTGATAAGACATATCGTGTGGAGTCACTCTGCAGAAGCTCAGTTTGATGTGTATTGCTAGAGAGGTTTGTTTTTTTCTTGGGAGGGTGCATGTGATCAGCACAGGGCCAATCAGCGCTCTCCAGACAGAGGTCAAGGGTCATGCATTCTCCTAGAGAAAAATAAAAAATCTGCCTACAAGCTTTAATCAATGCTCAGCTGGACACTGATAGAAGTCACAAGACTGCTATGTACTGCTGATGAGAAAAGGTATTTGTCAGTTTATATTTACTAAAACTATTGCATTTCCATGTTCTGTGTATTGTGGGAGACCAGATATAGTGAATGCAGGGTCCGGGGAGACCAGATATAGGGAATGCAGGGTCCAGGGAGACCGAATATAGTGAATGCAGGGTCCGGGGAGACCAGATATAGTGAATGCAGGGTACGGGGAGACCGGATATAGTAAATGCAGGGTCCGGGGAGAGCGGATATAGTGAATGCAGGGTCCAGGGAGACCAGATATATTGAATGCAGGGTCCAGAGAGACCAGATATAGTGAATGCAGGGTCCGGGGAGACCGGATATAGTGAATGCGGGGTCCGGGGAGACCAGATATAGTAAATGCAGGGTCCAGGGAGACCACATATAGTGAATGCAGGGTCCAGGGAGACCGGATATAGTGGATGCAGGGTCCTCGGAGTCCAGATATAGTGAATGCAGGGTCCGGGGAGACCAGATATAGTGAATGCAGGGTCCGGGGAGACTAGATATAGTGAATGCAGGGTCCGGGGAGACCAGATATAGTGAATGCAGGGTCCAGGGAGACCGGATATAGTGAATGCAGGGTCCTGGGAGCCCAGATATAGTGAATGCAGGGTCCGGGGAGACCAGATATAGTGAATGCAGGGTCCGGGGAGACTAGATATAGTGAATTCAGGGTCCTGGGTATAGTAGCACTTTAGGTAAATATGAGAAAAGGAAAAGCAAAAGCAAGGAAAAAGAACGGAGAGAGAGAGGTAGTGGGCTAAGGGAACTGGAGGGGGAAAAGGGGGTCATCCCCGGGGAGCAGGAATCCCTAATTGAGCAGTATAAATCACAGGTGATTGACACAGGTTAAGTGTATTGGAGGAATTCATCAGAGAAGCGGCAGAGATTCCCGTAAATCCATCTGGTCTATGTTCCTCAGACTTGTCCCGAAAAGCAGAAGTCAGGTCTTCCATCTGTTCAACATCATTCACTCTTGCAAGCCACTGGGCCAAAATTTATTTTCAAACGTTAAAAACCTACTTCAATTGGGGTATGTGATCTAGTATGGCTAGTTTGCCTTCTGTTCTTTTGGACTACTAAGAAAATAAAATTGTCCTGGACCACTTCTGGACCAGTATTCCTGATGCAAGTAAAATTTAGTTTCAAGTACTATCATATATCCATTACAAATGCTTGCAAAGTGCTTCAGGCAGTTGTCATAAACACTGTTGCAAACCCATTGCTAAACTGCCTGAATTGCACGTATAGCTGGGCAAAAAAAAGTCCTACAACACCCTTTCCAGGCAGATGGAAACCACCCAAAGCTGAAAGGGATTGTGCTAGCATGGTCACTCCTACAGTGGCCGAGCCTCGGAAGGTTGTAATACCTAGCCAAAACATAAGAGATAGAACAAAATTTGTTGTTTTAATCGGAGGGCAAAAATTAATTAAACTATAATGTGCTGTATTTTAAATAAATTCATCTTGAAAAACACTTCCCAACAATTTAACCACTTCCAGTCCAGACACTTTTACCCCCTTCCTGTCAAGGCCAATTTTCAGCTTTCAGCGATATCACACTTTGAATGACAATTGCGCGGTCATGCAACACTGTACCCATATGAATTTTTAGCATTTTTTTAGACAAATAAAGCTTTATTTTGGTGGTATTTATTCACCACTGGGATTTTTATTTTTTTGCTATGTAAATGAAAAAGTCCAAAAATTTTGAAAAAAAAAAAAGTGTTTTTCTTATAACATTTTGCAAATAAATAATATTTCATCATAAACCTTGGCCAAAATTTATTCGGTATCTTTTTAGTAAAAAAAAAAAAAAAAAATAACCCAAATTAGTTTATAACCAAAAATTATCATTTTTAAACATTTTTCTTTACATTTTTATGTTATTTTTTTTTTTTTTACATACTGTCACCCTAGCAGTACAGTGTCACCATGGTGGGGGGGCGGGTGTACTACTTGTGGGGGGTGATGAAGATTTTTTTTTTTTTTTTACAGTGATTGCTTTTACACCCATAAAGGCTGTAAATCATTTCTCGTTCTCTTTGGCTGCATTCTTGCAGCCATTGAGAACTACTGTGTGAGCTGTGATTGGTCACAACTTGTCACATAGTACAAGGTGTCACAATCACGGCGTCAGACCCCAGCCCTTCTCACCAAACTCGTGACCGGAGGACTAGCTGATCTAAAACCGCAATGTCATGTGCGTAACAATGCCACACCCAGCTGCACCCTGCACAACGATTTTGCAGCTAATTGGACCACAATCGATGTACCGGCAGCCTGAGCGATTGTACTAGGTCAGGTTAATTACGCAATTAACCCTTCACGCTGCCACCTCCTCCTTTTTGTACAGAGAAAGAGGAAACTCGGCGATATCAGTTATAACACTATAATGGTTGTATAACCGTGTTATACAGACGATTATTTCAGAGGGTTAAACAAACACAGTAGCATTCTCTTTAGAGGCAGGAATTCGTAAATTGCAATAAAGCGCTATAGAAACAGTTCAACACTTTCAGAAGGAAAGATTTATTACTAAAAGGTCAAACGGGTGCAATAAAAATATTTACAGAAAAGATGTAACTAAGATATATATATATAAATATACAGAGACCAACAGCATAGCAAAGAGATATCAGAGAGTGAAAGGGTTAAGTTACTTGCCAAAGTCCTGGGTTAGCAGATCCAAGTTTCAGAGCGAAAGGGCACGGGTCTCCCCAGGTGGTACTGATGTTAAAATGGGAGATGTCTTCAACTTACTCTTCTTAGGCATGACAGCCTAATTTGTAGTTCCCCAGCAGGGGGTGTCTCTGAAGTCAAGGACCAATACCCCGTTTAGGGAGGGATTGTCGTGCGGATACCTCAACTAGGTCCAAAATCTCTCATAACTCATATTTTGGCTCATATCTTTTCCTATGCACAAGTGACATTCCACCCGTGGGTAGATTATTATGCAGACACATCTGAGGATTGATTAGATATGAATTATGAAATTATACACTGAATGGTTTACAAGATCTATTTTTCTCCTTTCGTATGTATTAGAGACAAGGCGAGTGACCTATCAAATTGTTCGTCTTCTCTTAGCCAATCTGACAATATGTCTGGTTTTTATGTAAGTCTCTCATATTCCAAGATATGAGACATAGGGGAAAAATGGATTTTTAAAAGTGTTAGCTGGTCCCGCCTTCCTTGGAATGTCTTGAACTCCAGGGAAAGCTTGCCTTATCTTATACGGGGTGTTACATTTTACAGGTTCTTCGGACAGCTAGGCCCCAGCTCCCTTGGGGACTTTATAGCTCCTAGCCCGCTGCTGGGCCCTGGCCTCCTGTGACACTCCTAACACACATACACACTGGCCAAATGTTGCTGTGACTCTCAGAAAGGGAGGGGGAGAATGAGGTGGAAATATGTTTGTCAGGATGGTTAAAATTTGTGCAATTGCACTTGCAGAGTGCACAGTCTATTTGCTTTTAGTAAATTCAACCTCAAATGATATATCATTCATATGCCTTTTTTATTAAAGCTGGAAAAAATCATTTCCTCCTTCTGTCCAGTTCTGGAAGAATTTAGTGAACTCAAATTTACCATTATATCAAGGTTCATTCTATAACAAGGGGATGTCCAAAGAAGTTTACTAAAGTATATCTCCTATAGCAATGGCACCTACTCTCTAAATTTTTGAACTTTGGCTATTGGGATAGTATGGAAAAATGTTCACCTCTTTTTCTTCTTTTACTTGGAGTCCTGATCTTGACTGCCCATTTTTTCTTACTCCTAACATGTATATACTGTAAATGCACAATTTTTCACTCTGTGCTTAGTCTGTCTATCCACACACGGCATATACCCCTTGCGCAGGTCAAGCCACTTGGAACTTGTCCCTTCCAAAAAAAATCTAAAAGCAGACTTTATTTAAAAAAAAAAAAAGAAAGATGCCTTTAATAAAACAAATACACTACAAACTACACTCACATAATATACATCCGAGTCCCCCCATACTCCAGTAGAATGGCAGATGTCATGGAATTTTTGTGTATTGTTGGTTGAACTTTAAATGTGTCATATATGAGTGTTATTCATATGTCTCTCGTGTGGCTTAATTAAAGCTCTGAAGGCTGCAATTGGGCCATGCGCATGTACAATGTATGTATTACACTACTCAGCTCGGTAATGGATGAGATGGCAGATCTGCGCTTATAGACCGGCGTGTATACCACCACGGCATTCGATGCGAATGCCGCCGACGGTAGGCCACGGGCCTGTATCCACATATCAGCAGCATAGTACCACATGGACTTCATAACGCAAGGCGCCAAGCGGTGTGAACTCCGCGTGTAGGCTTATGCATATCTTACAACCCATTACCGACCTGAAACTGTATCTGGATGGATGTGTTTTAATAAAGATCGTATCGGACCCATCCAGGTTCAGACTGATGTTTAGCCTGGGGGATGCTCGTACAGGGAAGTTACATACCAATAGGAGCTACTAGGACAGGAAGTATGCTCTCCATAGAGGGCTCATGGGGGGAAGGGGAGGAAGTCTGCTGACCTCAGAGGGCTCATGGGGAGGACCAGTGATAGATAATAGGAAAGGCTATGCTCCAATCGGAATGTACATCCTGTGTATAGGCACTCCCCATTGCATTGTTCTGTGGGAGGGAATTGACCTTATTCATGTGGGGGGCGTGTGTGTGTTTGTAATAAAACCGGGGGCTGAGTCTGAAGCCAGCCTCTAAGTGAATTCCAACAGCATCCTGAGAGTGTCGTGTGATCATTCTGGGGTATAGGGAGCTCCATTTACCCACATCTCAACAGAGTTAAATCAGTTGGAAGGGCAGGAATCGTGTGGTTTAGCTGAAGTCGTGGTAAGCGAGATTCGCACAGCTTTATGGGGGATTTCTGCGCATCCAACTGCGAGTACTCACGGTAAGGAGAAATTCGTTAGAGCGAATTTCCAAGACAGTTTGGCGAGCCAGTGGATACTAACACAAATTCTGCGATAGCTAACCAAGTTCGAGGGGGAATGAGCCATCATGAACTAGCAAAAAGTATGCCGCCACATTTCAGGTCTGTCTGCCATTAAGAGGATCGCTTTTTGCGCGTTCGTGTGGCTGATTTTGCTCTCTGTTAGCTAACGTGAATTCCGCTTAACAAGGACCTATTGTGTCCTAAAATCTTGATTTGTGGGTGAAAGACAAGGGTTTTTCTCTGCTGAGAGCAGCAGAGGGGTGGGTTTGGTTGGCTGGATTTGGTCAAGTTTAAAAATCTTCCAACCAAAAATTAAACGGGTATATGTTTTAGCGGGTAAAAGTTGTTGCATAGTGTTAGGTAAGTATTTGCGGGTTGTAGGTACTGTGGTAATTGCTCTACCCCCCCCCTCCACGTGAGGTAATTATTACAGTGCTGAAAGGTTTAGGTTAATTGTTAACTGTTGTAAGATCTTTGTGTGTATGTAGTCTGTGCAGTGTTTTGTCGGTACTACTGCTCCCAGCAAGCATGCAGCAGTGGGTCCTTTGTTACATGTGCATGTTAGTGTGATATGTTGGTGTTTTATGTCTGTTCTGTGATTGTGCCAAATGTGTGTTGTATGTGTACTGTACATTGTTGGGT